AAATAACGGTCTGGAAACTCAATTTCTACTAGACACTGGAGCAACATGTTCGCTTATTAATTTTGACAGTTATGAACAATTTTGTAAAATACAGCCTCTACAGTTGAATAAATCTAGATCAAACACAGTTGCTGTGAATGGAGAAAAACTTAAACTTATAGGTTATACTAATTTTGAATCAACTTTTGGTACAAACTCTGATAATCCGGTAAAAATTAAAGCATGGATTTCAGCCAAGAATTGCTGCGATCTAAATATATTAGGAATGGATTTCATTTGTCACAACATTAAATCAATAAACTTTCCAAATTTGAACTTAGAATTAAAAAAATACCCATATATAACAGTTCCTATCATTATTATAAGAAGCAAAAGTTATCCATATCTAAGTTTTTATCAAAATGTACTTCTTGATAAAAATATAACTATTGCACCAAAATCATCCCGCGTAATTTCAGTTTCTCCAGCAGGCATAGTTTTCAAAGCAGGAACATCGTTTAGAATTGATAAGTCCTTAGAACAAAAAGGCATTAATGCAAAAAGCACTTATTGTAGGAATGAAATTAAGTCAATGCCTATCGTACTTAAAAACTCCAGATTATCAAAAGTAGATATAAACAAAGGTGTAATAGGCCAAACGTTTGAAAACATAGAAATAAAATAAACCCATTTCTTCCTGCTTTAAATTATTCATAAATGTGAAGTTTTCGTCAAAGCTTTTATAACGCTTTAACTTTGTTATTTTACCTAACGTTTTGTATACTGAGCAGTAAATCTAATTTAATCTTACTAAAAAATAAGATTACGAGTATTATCCAACAAATATACTACAATGAATAGCGGTTCTGTATGACACCTAAGGGGATATGCCAAAATGCATGAACACGGATTTAATTCTTAACCGAGATCGAAAACAGTCAAGTACGCTTACAATTTTGGACCATCCTCAGAATCAAATAAAGATAGAGGGATCGGAAGCCAATGGCTCAGACAAAAAAAAGTTTTTCGACTTCAATATATTTGCAAAAAAACTGCAAAAGGCCAGGAGTTTCAAATATTACAGTGTTACGAGTCTATAATGAATTCATTTTCAGGCGGTTTTATTAACTGAAAATTCAGTATTAAACTTAAGGGAATGTCAAATTACCCTACGTGCAATAACGAGAATTAATAGAGTGAAACCTTTGATGAAAGAACTAGCCAATGTAAGGTTGTAACAAACTCATTCTGCGAAGTTAATTTGCACCATCGGATTCCTCTTAGGGCCCAAGTAGGGACCGATGACAATAATTATCATCTTTGTAGTTTTCAAGTTACAAAATGCAAACTAGAAGAAATTCATCAAAAAGGGAGATATCACCTCCTTTCTTCTCAACACATTGATAAAAATTTTCATCAATATTCTTTATCAAAAAATGGGCGAACAACGTTTTTCGACCCGACCCGCCGCAGATTTATGCCAGCATTTGTTGGTGGCTTCATGTAGCCTTTTTAAAATTATGGTACCATATTCTTTCAACAACGCAAGTGCTTGTTGGTGGCTGTATGCAGCCTTTGAGACTCTTATGATTCACTCCTCACAATTTGGCCAAAATATCAATTCGGTAGCCCAAAATCCACAACATGCAGGCATTTAAACCCTTAAAAACAACAAATTTTCAGAAGCAACACTTTGAAAATTGGACCACATCATCCTTAAGATTGTTTACGTTAAATTTTTGCATCATAAAGTTCAGGATGACTTTCTGTACTAAAGATGTGAACATGGATTGGTGCAGGTGATTAAAACCGAAGAAGAATTATTACAGTTATCTTATCGAATATTATACCGTTTGTAATTAGTCTTCAACTTTTCTTACCCTTGATATTTCAGTTTTTTTTTCTTCCTTAATCAAATTTTTTCATTATCTTATCAGAAAATGAAACTAAGATTCCTGGTTATAACAAAAATGCTGTCAAATGAAATATTGTATATGTTTATACATGCCTTACAATTTTACAACTTTCTATTCGCTAATATTTGCATCTAGTAAATCCTAACCCAAGTTTATAGCCGTATAACTTGTTAGGGACCCCATGGTAAGCCTGTGGATGACCCCAGGTGGACATAAATTTAAGATTAGGGGTTAATTAATGCCCAAATTTCCATTTTTTGCTTTAACTTCATAAGTTTAATATCTGAGCTTAACTCAGTGTTGTAAAGTGCTTTATTCCTGTGGTTATTAAACACCATGATCGTCTTTCTTGATTTGTATTTCTGTGGTTATTAAACACCATGATCGTCTTTCTTGATTTGTATTTCTGTGGTTAATAAACACCATGATCGTCTTTCTTCATTTGTTTTCCGTGGTGGGTTTGTGTGAAACCACAAGATTATATTTTCCACCTTTTATATATATATATATATATATACAATTTTACACTTTGTCCTTCATCGTTCAAACATTTGATAATTAGCCTTAATATCCAAATGTAATTCGGGATTTTGAATATTTGGTTATTTTATATTGATGTTTAGCAAAATGGAATACGACCCAATTTTAAACTGGAATTGCAGAAACGCAGACCCAGCACCAGAGGAGTTCAAAAGAAAGCTGCCCCTCAGGAAGAAACAACGGAAACCTCTAGCAGTTCAATCTTTGTCAATAGACGACGGGTTAAATAAGAACCCTCGCAATTTTCCTAGTTTAACCCAAAGATTGGAACTGCAGAAGTGCAGAGAAACCAAGTTGGATACGGAAAATCCAAAATATATAACGAGTTTAAAGTACTCAATAAAGGAAAATTATAACAGATGGAAACTGCCATCGTTCATTGAAGTCGCCAACTCAACGACAATGGAAAAGGCGATGATGCCTATCGATTTCATAACTCAGCCAGAAGTGGTTATAAAGAACGAAAACAACTTCTGGAAATTAAAGAAGAGGGAGGAACAAGGCTACATCCTCAAGGCAGGAGGCACGCAAGTCACCATCCCGTTTGAGGGAATAACTGCTTTTCCGAACCAGGTAAAAAACAGACACAGACAGGAAGAACAGGACGACAATCAAGAACTTACGGACGGAATGAGCAGACTACGAATCAAGAACAAAATCAAAAAGAAGAAAATCGTGAAGTTGCAACAAAAACTCGAGGCTTCACAAAGGAAGATAGCGATCCTCAGATCATACAACGTGGAGCTTGAATTCGGAAGGAAGCTCTAGATAAAACCTAACTTATCTTTATAACTTTTTCGTTTGATGTTCTCTTTAAATTTTATAACTATAGTATTTAATCATTAAAGTGTTTAAATTTTCACCATGGTAACTGTAAGAATCGAACAGCTTAATTTTCTAAAAAAAGGGGTGAGTTGTAGTATTGCGAAATACTACACACACAAAAGACCATTGTCTTAATTGTTTATTTAACGACCCAATTCTAAATTGGAGCGTGCCATTTAAATTAAAGCCTCTTTTCACTAAATCAGATATTGACTGATTTACTCTTATTAGGACTATAAAATCTTGTTTTGAAAATCCACTCCTTTTTAAATACTTGTCCAATTTTTCTCATTTTTTCGTGCTCAATATTTTAAAAGGGCGGCGATTATTTTTACGTCCCTTTTAACTTAACTTGAAACAAACTGGATAAACATTTCGCAGTCTTGCCGGCTGCACTGAAATTCTCCTTGCTTTGATTAAGCAGAGATGCACCTGCAATATGATGCATCAGAGAGAGTAATATGAATTTTTAATCAGACAAACTGAAGGCTGCGGTTTTTATCAAAGTGGACTAATAAGTTGAAGATATTTGATTTGAAAAAATCAAACAAAAACTAGTTGAAAATTCCCTTATTAAAAAGGGAGAACAAAGGAGCAGGTGAAACCTGAATAATTAAAGATTGAATCAGCCGCCGGTTTATGCTTACGAGCAAAAGGACTGGCCTGAAAACTTCAGTGTTTCATTTTGCTCAGTCAGCAGCAAGTCATTTCTCTTCAGTCAGTTCTTTTAAAAATAAATAATTTTTCTTTTCTGCCCTAACACTAAAATTAATCTAGCCCTTTTCATTTATAAAAAGAGAATAAATTCTCAGTTTAAGTTTGATTTGAAAAATTATAAATCGAGATACTCGAGATACGCACCCCCGAGGAAGTCTGGACTACAAGTACCCAAAGGACTACGGCAAGACGATTCAGACGACACAACCAGAAGTGCTGACTTGGACAAACATCAAGGGCAACCATACATACTAATCAGCCACCGATCTTAGTAAGAAGATAAAAAATTGATGAACAACATAAGATTAGCTCAACCTCCCCTCATAGGTATATTTCTTTAAGCTGTTCGATTCGTTTATATAATCTAATAACCCAGTGCTTTGTAATTAACCAACTAATTAATTCATACCTTTTCTAACTATTGTTTCTACTCTACTTTTTGTCAAGACAATTTGACGATCTAAGGTGAGACTTATAATTTAGGATAAAATTACTAAGCATTCAACCAGCAATGAGCGCTTAGTAAAGACCTTAAAATTTTTCTATATATACACTAATTTTGAGGGGGGAGCGCGCGCCGAAAATACGCAATTTTTTGGTCGAAATTTTCCAAAAAGTGCATAAAAACGCCTTTTTTGTCCTGCTTTTTTGAATAAATTGCCTGCGGCTTAGAAAATCAACTTTGTCCACCTAAAAAAGTCAAGACAAATTTCGAACTTTTTTTTTGAAAATCCCCCCTAGAAATTCATAGATCCGCGCCTGCCAAATACACAAAATTTTGAAAAAAGGTTGATATTTTTTCCAATTTCTCGCCCTCCCTCCGCTTGACACTGCTTTTAAAGATTTTGAAAACATTTTTTTCTTATGAAATCAATGCCGCTTAGAATTGTATAATAGCCCAAAGGTCAGTTATGCGCATTTCGTATATTCGCATGTCTGATGACAAAATCCAAAAACAAAATTCAAGTATGAAAGTTCGTGTCAGAGAGCTGATTTTTGATGATTTCTAAATTTTTTTTTCAGGTTTTGGGCTCCGAGGGAAATGTTATAGTAACTCTACAGCCAGGAAGCATCTTCGGAGAGATTAGTCTGCTAGGTAGAGAACCCTAGATACACTAATTTTGCAAAGACAAAAAATTCGTTTAAGATATCGATTTGGCTCTGGCGCATGAAAATACTTAGTACCAAATCTTTAAAAAAGTCGCCTTTGATTATTGTGTTTGAACCGTCAAAAGGCAAGTTTCAAATCTTGTGGGTATTTTTTTTTATTGAAAAATGTGATGTCTCGAATTTTTGCAGACAATGTAATTGTTCCAACATTGAACAGGAGTGAAACTCGTACTCGGTTGTTTGGAATCACAATGTTCTTGAATATCAAATTCAAACATTTGATGTTTGATAAAAAAAATCCTTTGTTGTTCAGGCATTGGCGGCATGAACAGACGCACTGCAGACGTGTTCAGTCCAGGGTACGCGACTCTGTTCAAACTGGACAAGGAAGACCTGGAGGAGGTGGTGGCCGAGTACCCCGAGGCACAGGTTGCACTGCAGAATAAGGCCGATGAAATCATGCGGGAGAAAGGGGTTGGGGGCGGGGGTGGTGGTGATGGAGGAGGAGGAGGAGGAGATCGAGACCGAAAAGAAACAAAAGACGAAAAAATAGACAAAGACGAAGAGGAAGAAAAAAAAGAAGAAAGGAACAATGACAATATAATTTCAGAGGAATCCGCTGAAACTCATTTTGACTGCACGGGTTCAAACAAAAGTGAAGATCCAATCAATTTTGCTGTTGCAGCGACTGAGGAAACAAAAAACACTGTCAAACGGTCGGAGTTTGAATCTGGCAATAATACAAAAAATGCTTTCGAAGTAATTCTTCATAACCATCAAAAGTGTCCAGATCAAAAAGTTGAGCAAAATGATGGAATGTTAAAAGAGCAAAATCAAATCCATATAAAATCGACGGCCAATGTCGCAACACAACAACAACCAAAAGTTTTGGTCGTTGTTGAAGAAGACTCAATCTCTCTTGATACACCAGTTCAAGATGAAATACATAAAATGCAAGCGGGTAGTAACAATTTAACGCAGTTTATAGAAATTCGGGATGAATATGACGACGAAAGCGACAACTCGACGACAAGAGCCGAAGTGCGAATCGACATTACGTCGCCTGGACCTTCAACATCTGCGCAGGCAGCCATACGACTTGCTCCAGAGAATTTTCAGACGCTAGAAAGTCCACGAATTTCGTCAAGACTTCAACATCAACAATCCGGCTCCAAAGAAGTGAAAAAACTCTTAATTGGTGTAGAGGAAGAAAATTTGCACCCACGAATCCAGAAAATGATCTCACAAGGATCAAATCCAAGCTTAATGGATTTGATTCGGACGGGTCAGCTTATGTACGTTCCAATGAGGTAAGAGAGATTTTGTCACACAAATTGAAAAAAGTTCACTGGAAACTACAATTTTGCAATGATTATGCAGTTAGGCGATTTATTTGGAAAATAACGCACTTTAAAGCTGCTTCTGAGGGCAATGCTTGCAGACTTTTTGTTGAGAGAGTAAGTCAGAAATAAAAAACAATCGGTTTTTGGGGTTTCAGCAGCGTCAACAACAAATCGACAAGCAGCGTAAATCAAGAGTCGAGCGCAGACTTCCTTGCCGACATTCAACGCGACAACAGAGTTCCGGTGATGCACATGAATTCTCGAATCGAGCAATACTTGTCCATTGTAGCCGCCCACAACAACAATACAGAACAAGGGTTGACAACGGACCCCGACTCGCGAAACCCGAGTAGATGCGAGTCACGATCATACTCAGTTATGTCTGATAATCTGTCGCCATGTGACTCGGTATCGAGTGTGAACATACCCGTAAGAAGAATATCGAGCGGACCCGAAAGGTTTGAGGGAAACTCAAATCAGAAAAATAATCCATGAATTGATATTGAATGCTAAAAACGGCGCGCTTTTCTTTGCAAAAATAATGCTATCAGTTTTTCATCGAAAAACAGTGTAAATTTTTCTTTTTCGACATTAACAAAAGCAACACCATTTTTCTTGTGTTGTACTTCAGTTATTTTTTCAAACTTCACGCACTTTTTGCATAATCCTCAGCCATATCACTCATTTTTTTTTTAATTTTTGACCTGCATTGCATTTGATAATTTTGATGTGTTAATCTACTCACGGACAATCTTAGTCTGCCACTTGTGTAATGCCAGCGAGGGATTTTCAGAGTAGAACACTTTGTAGCCGTACTCTTTGGGAATAGAAGCTGCATATGGTTCATCCCACGTCACTTTCACACTTCCTAGTTTAGAAGAGGGCAGCACTTGCACGTTCTGTGGAGCACTCGAATCTAAATTACACGCTCCTCTAATTCAAGTAATTTAGTTTTTTGCAAGAACTTTTATCAAGACCGAGAAATCTATCGATTGCAAGCTCAAAGTTTTCGAAAGTTTTTTTTTGATAAGATTTGGACATTAAAAAAAAACAAAATTCAAGTTTTTCTGAAATGTTTTTTTATCGAATTAGTTTCAAAAGTCAATAATTATGTAACAAATCTTTTAACTATATCACATAGACGGTGCCTTGACTTCTCACTCATAAAAAACTAGCAAAAAGGATATGTGAAACCTTTGTTATGGCAAAGCAAGTCGCAGTACAGACAGCTCGCGTAATTTTTTTTGCCAAAAATTAGTTTTTTTTTGTTGAAAAAAAAATGTTGAAGAAAAGGGCTCTAAATATCAAAGCATTTGAGCATTTACGGTTTTTTTCGTTGCTTATCTGATTAGTGATTTTTGATACCATGGGGAGATTGGATCTCATTTCTAACTGAAAAACCTACGCCAACTTTTCTGTCAATTTTTTGATTTTCATTCAGCTCATGAAAAAATATTGCTGGCCTAAAATCTGGATGTTTCGTTACGTGGATTCAATGAGTAAAAATTGATTTTGAAATCAAAACAAAAAGCTTGTATCAGAGTGAAGCTTTGAACATTCCGCTCAGAATGAAGCTTCGATAATTTTTTGTTCCGAGTTTTGACGAAAATGAGGAATATATATGCTCGGGGTGGTTTTTTAGTCCAACAAATTTTACGAAATTTTGGTCCCTCGTGGGACCAATCTCCTGGTCTGCATGGGCCCAGCCAGTTATGAATTCTCTAATTGTAACCTGCCGTGGGCTTGTATAAACTGCTCGTTCTCTAATTTACACGAGTGGTATATTATCCCGCACTATAAAATCCTTGTAAACTGAATTGAGGCAGCTGTATGGTTTTATTAATTCAATACATGATTCAAATTTCAACACTTGAATTTAAATTTGATCAGCCTAAAATTAAAAGTTTTGCCAATACATAACTTACTAAAAACTATTCGACACCAATTAAATGGCAGCTCAAACATTCAGGGCTTCGCCCTGATATGAGCAGTCATGTTTATTTTTAAAAACTGGTGAAATTTTCAAAATAAAATAACATGATTTCAAATTAATTTTCAAAATCATCTCCAAATGCTGTGTAAAGTACACAGTCATGCATTTAGAGGCTAGCAACATAACAATAGGAGCAAATATCTGGCCTGAATTCATTTTGGAACAGAATCTGAGCCGGATTGAATCCCCACTTACGCGTTAATAGCACAAATGTATCTGCCAAGTTGGCTAAATTTGCATGTTTCAAACCGGGATAAATTTTTGAAATGACGAAAATGATAAAAAAAAAATGAATGAGCAAAATATTTGAAATAATTAGGTATCCAATTAAATTTGGATTGGTACGATTTGACGCATGCGCTACGTTTTAATATAAAACTGGTAACAGTTGCGCAAATTTCAAACATCGATAAAATTTTATAAAATGGTTGGAGGTGAAGTTATCTTATTTTTTTGAGCTTCTATTATCATTGTTTTTCTGATGGTAAAAGAAACTATGTCAAAAATGTTTGCTCAAAGCTAAGATTCTGATGTGATTGAATAAACCATAAACAAGATAAAAAAGATTGCTCAAATCACGACCAAGTCTTAAGTTTTTTGACTGCCTTCTAATGTCTATGAATTAATTTAGATGAACTTTTTTTAAAGTTAAGTTTCGATTTCATTTTGTTTTTCATAAAAACTTTCACAAATCCACACGCAATGTCAAATACCAAACAAGACTAAGTTATGAAATAACCGAGAGATTATCTAAGTTATGATGAGTTATCGCATTTTGAAATCATTATGTATGTTGTCGTGTTGCGCACTCAGACATTTGGGTTCATTAGTTTTAGTGAGTTGTCCAAAAATACCGAAAAGTTGAGATTGCAATCACAGATCAAATAGTCATTGTTTGCAATTATGAGCACTAAATGGGGAGTGAGAGCTGGAAGGATCGAATGCCCGAACGAATACTTTGGTAAGAAATCAGAGATCAGAAAGCATCAGTTCAAGTAAATGAGAGGGGAAATTTGTCAGCTTTGACTATTCAAGATAGGTTGAAATCATTCGTGCATTCAGTCCTTCTGTTATGAAAACAAACAACCTCACCCCCCTGCCCGCTAGTTCACATTTGAACTTAAAAGAAACCCAAGTTGGCGCACTTGTAACTCAAAAGGGATCTGCAGTAACGCTAAATAGAGTGAGTCTCGCTGAAATCCAAACTGGTGTTCAAACCAAGTAATAGGTAGCTTAAGCTCAAGTAGCATCTTCATCATAATCTAGCTAAAAATGGAATTAGTTCAAAACAGACGGGTTTTATGTTTATAAAGCTGCTGAAATCTGAACTCTACAAGCGACAAATCAATCGTAGTTATAGTAAATCGATCAAAAATAAAACGATTGAGATGAAACATGACATGAAAATGAAATTTTTAAAATTTTAAATGTTCTTAGCTAATGTGAAAAGCTTCAAAAATAAATTACTACGAGTTTTTTTTTCATAGTTTGAGCCATGAAAAAAAGTGTTGTCCGCAATTACTGTACTTATATAAATGATTCACTTAATAAGTTTACTGCTATCAAGAAAATCAGCCAACACATTACCGAAACTTCAACCGCCTTGTTCCTCTACTAAACAGGAGGATATATGGGCTAGTTAGGGGTCCCTATACCCACCTCTTTGCCTAAAGAGATAAAACCACCCCCTCACCAAAATACACCCACTTTTGGTCAATTTTTTTTTCTAAGATACCCTTTTTTATCTTAACTTCTAAGGTAGGATAGAGGATACCGTAAAACCTGTTCGGTCAAAACTTTTCAAAATCAACCAAAAAGTTAAGTTTTTTAAAATGAAAATCGCTCAATATTTGAGCCAAACAGGGTCTGTGCAGTTTTTGAGTCAAAAACAAAGTGTGAGAGACATTAGTTCAGAGAGAGTGGGTACATATGTAACTGAAATAAGTTTCATTATTTTTTGAAATTAGTAATATATATATATTTTTCAAACTTATGAATATATTTGAAATTCCCCTCCCGAAAACCCTAGCTCCACCCTCGCCCTGCTGCCTTTTGCTAATTTTAATAAAACCATCCCTGATTTATAAGCAGTTATATCGTGTAAATCAGTTTATTGAAATTTTTTGAGAAACCATTTTGCTCATGCCAATGTTGTGGCCTATCAAATAGGCTTGTTCGCATGCACAGTCAGATTGGGGTTGGATTAGAGCAAGGATCTGATTGGTTGTTGTCTAAGTGAAAACAACCAATGGTTCAAACATCCAAATACATAAATTTGAGGTTGTAGGCGACGTGGAAAATGATCGAGCTTAAGCTTTTCCGAAATACTTTTGAAATGATTCACCAACTCTAAATTTGTCTTTTTTTCCTGCCATTTTTGTATACATTGCAAACCTTACAATTAAAATGAGAAGTGCTCTGATATAACACTGTAAGGCGACAATGGCTTGTGTTGCATCAGAGGGTGAATGGGTAGTGGGTTGCGTAAGCTTTTCTTCTCAGTTTCCGAACCCATGGACAACCAAAGGGTCCCATTTGATACCTAATATCGACATAAATTTTAGACTGACTAATCGTAACGGCGCCTTCGGCTCGAGTAGATTAAAACAACACTGTCAAAGCCGTAAAAATTCCGAAGAAGTATTTTGGCAAACTTTTGCGAACGCTTGACTCAACTTTTGATAAACAGTGTATCTGGCGCTCAAAAGATCAGTCAAGTAGACATTAGAAAAAAATCCTCTACTCGCGAAAACAGTACGATAAAAATTGTAAATGTTGTAAGGGTTGCCGCAAAATTCGGCCAACGGCAGCTTCCCTCCCAAAACTAAATCGACAGGTTTTGTCCTGCTGCAGATTTCATCCCTATTTGAAATTTTTCTACTCTTTTGTGGAAACCGATAACCACTAAGCATTTCATCAACAAGTCGTGTTTTGAGAATGGCAAGCTCGAAACCCAGTCAATTTTTAATCCCAGGCATTAAATTTTCGAAGTATTCGTGTAAAAAATGGTACGTTATTAACGAAATGGGACAAAATCTGCTATATGTGAGAAAAAATATTTATGTATTTTTTTCCCTGATAAATTGAATCAATAATTTGAACAAGACTGCTCGTATCAGGACAAGGCTCTGAATTTTTTGATTGCCTTTTGAGGTCTATAGAGCAGTAATAACTAGAAAAAATTAAAGGTAATAAGAATAAAATGAGTTTCTTTGTATTTGATTTCAGATTTTTTTTAAAGTGAATTACAAAGTACAAAGTGATAAAATTTGCTCCTAGTAACAAATCAATTATGGCAAAAAAATTTCCATCGACCAGTTTGGAACGATTTCTAAGACTGATTATATCTCCGCTTACGCATTAATAGCGCGAAATACATCGCGAGTTAATTGTCCTAAATTGACCAAAATGGCAATCTTTAAGCCCCCAAAAATTTATGACAAACAAACACAAGTAAAATATTTTTTCAAAATCAAACGCAAAACATCGATACTTTTCGAATATATTTTAAGAGTTCTGTCAGAAATAGCTAGTTAAAAATCGAATTTTGTCTTTTATCACAAGTACATTCCGTTACTTTTGGCACGAAATTTCAAAATTTAAAAGTCAAAATTTTTTCGGTGATGTTTCTTATTAAAAATTTTAGTGGTAATTTTAGCTGGACTGTAGGTTCTAAAAAATAAATCTACAGTCTGAAAACGGCTAAAAAGCTAAAGGAAAGTGATTTTCTCCTAGGTCTAATATTTTTCTAGCAAGTAAAAATTTCGCATACAAATTTTGGCTGAAACGAATTTAAGATTTTTCTAGCCTCTTGTAATGTTAGGGCTTCGGAGATTTTACCACAAACCTAAAAATACGAGGAGAGGCGGTTACTGTGCAAAAACACAGAGTGTTTGATCATAATTTTAACAAACTACAAAAAAAGTTTGTTTAGTTTAACTTCATTTTTGTTTGTGAGTGGCGTAATGAAAAAAATTTAAACGAAAGAATATACCAAAAAAGCACATTGCAAAACAGTTTCATTCAAATAATGACCCATAAAAATTGAGAAAATTCAAAAAAAAAATTGACATTTTATTATCAAGATTGCGCTAAAAAAACTTAACAACTATTTTTTGATAAAATTTTTGAGGGCTTGAATAAAAAAAACATGGCTTCTATTTTTAAAAAAATTTGCAACAAATCTTCTATAATAAGCCCAAAAATGTCCTAAAATGAAGAAAAAAACTAAAAAGAGTTTTTCTCGACACTGGGACAAATTTTTGGTTTTTTAGTGTTGTTCGAATCTCGAAAAAAAGGCTTTAATATGATCCTTCAATCCCGTCCAATGGTTATTAGTGGTACTAACTTTTTTCACGGAACGAACGTTGGGTGAAATCAATTTAGTTGAGTAGCTTGTTTGTTTTGAGTGATACCAGAATTTGAAACCCTCCCAATTACAAAAATATGGCAATTTTCTAAAAATAATTCTTATCAATAAATCGGAGACTTGATTTGAAAACATAGCCAGCATGTAAAAAAGCACATTTTTTGGTACTTAGTAATGATTGTGCAAAATTTATTGGGCGGATGTTTGAACTGTCGGTTGTTTTCACTGGAGAACAGTCTATGCTTTTTCTTCGTTTTCCCAAACATATCACCACTTCACTTACTAGTGGGCCTGGACTCCGCCACGGGAGGAGCTAAAGTTCCGGCTAAATATATGGCTCAAAGTCACTATACCGTTTTCTTCTATGCTCGCTTCTTTTAAAATAATGTGCAAACGCTAAAATTCTTTTTTAATACAAAATAAACTTTTTAGCTAAAATGAATATAGAAAATTTGAGTGCAGCTTTGGCCCAGAATATATAAGAAAAGGAACTAAAATTCGGGGACTTTAAAACCTTAAGCCAATTAAAACTTTGCAGAATTATAAAGGAGAAAGTGTGCGATGTGCACTGTTAATTTGTGCACAGCAATAAATAGTTTTGCACGGTTAGTCATTTAAGTCTTCATCCCACTACAACACACCCCATGCGTGATCAAACTACTAACTGGAAAGAAGCGTTTTGACTTCCACTTCATCCGAGGAAGGACCGAGTCCGGCCGCATTTTTAGCCGCGACCTTGACCCGATATGTCTGGCCGGCCATCAAATTGATGAGCACCGTCCTTGTTAGCCCAGATTTGGTCTCCTGGTTCTGTTTGTAAGTATTGCCCACTTGAGATGCCATCACTAGGTAGTTTTGGATCACTCCGTTCTGCTGGTCGACATCTGGAGGTTGCCACGTGATGAACACTTTCCTTCCAGTGAGAGCAAACGCGTTCACGTTCCTAGGCGCTCCGGTCGGCACTGAAAAGAACTAAAAGACTCAAACACCCAATATCATGATGGTTTTTTAAAATTAATAACAAATATTTGGACAATTTTGTTTCAACTTAGAACAAATTCCAACCACTTGCTTTCAAATGTCTAGACGATGTATGTGTTTGCGTTTTCTGTGGGCATCTTATTTTAAACTAGATCTGATTTCAAGGTCAGAGTACACATCTTGGAGATGCGTTCCAGCAGATTTGTTTAATTATGAATCAAAACATTCTTGTTTTGAATAAGTAACTCCAGTTACGAGAAAACTTGTCGACCACGGTCAACTTTAAGTCAAATTCCCTTTCCTTGACAATCTGAAGCTAGCACCTTCAGCAAAGCAAGGGCAATAGATTTGTTTTGAAATATCAGGAGAACTGTACAGCCACTGAAACAATATGATCAGCCTTACATCATAATTCTGCTCCTACTAAATGCGACGATGGTTTGTTTTTTTTTAATGACGAATTTCGCCTCTGACTAAAATTTTTAAAAAAATGTATCTCACAAGTAGCAGGAACGGCAATGATTTGGACCTCGCTCTCCAAACTGAACCCGTTTAGGTTTCTAGCCTGCACCCTAAAAGTGTACTGAAGACCCTTCCTCAGGTTTGGAAATTCAACTCTTCGTTTATCTCGAACATTCTCCAAATTGCGAATGTCGTGAACGTATTCGAACTCTTCCTTTGTCTCCAATATTCTGTACTTAATAATGAATGACGTCACTGGGTGTTTGGGCACTTCAGTGTAGTCCCACGTGATCACAACTCCGCCCATTTGGATCTCCACTTGTAAATCGAATGGCGTGTTGGGTTCTAAAAAGACGCTCAAACTGTTTATTAAGTGAAGTTCAACATTAGGTGAAACTTAATATGCAGTTTTAACTGAATGAAATAAGTTTTGAAACCTCGGAGTGCAATAATGTTGGGATAGAAATACATCAAAAGCATTACGGAACAAAATAAGCGCGGTTGCATTAGCACGTCTTTTTTAATTTTCGCCAAATCAATTTGTCGACCACTGTCGTAATCTTTAAGGTTAAATAATTGAAAAGTCCGGACTGAGTTCATAAACAAACTATCGTACGGTTTCTTTCAAAACAAAGCGAAGCTCTCTGCCTATTTTCAAATGAACAAAAAAAACGTGCCACCATTTGCTGCCTGGAAAATAATGAGAACAGGAGTTACCTTGGTTCATTAGTCGGTCTGTAAATTCAAAACTATTTAGCTCAAATTTTGGCCCGTAAGATTGATAAAGCGCACTATACTGACACCTTAAAATGCCAGAAAAAAAATAATTGAAAAATAAAAAAACTGAAACATTAAAATTGATTGCATTTATAGACATCGGAAGTAAAAGTTGATGCGACATCTCTGCACAATATTAATTCACGCAAGTTTTAGCTACAAAATACTTCTGATTAAAATCAATTCGTCAAAGATGTTCATCAAATGAATTCCATTTGATTTGCCGAGTCATGGAAAATCATTTTTTTAAGTAATCGCTGGGTTTCACGCACTGGGTTTCGCTTTTCTGAAAAATCAAAACTAACCGACAAACTATTTCACACCGAAAAAAAAAGAAACGAGAACGCTAATTCCACAAAAAAACGCTGTGTTTTCCTGGAAGTTCAGTTGTTCACGCTTAAGATATATAGTAAATGCCGAATTGATGCCAATATTCGTTCGGTTATCCTGAAACTGCTCATTTTGACGACGAAATACAATTTTTCAATCAATTTTTCAACCTAAAACTACCGGCTTTTGGTCAATAAAGAGTCTCAAGGGCACCTATACTGTCAACAATTTGTCATTCATTAAAAACGATTGGCAACCTGGGCTCATAGTGCGGATGTTGTATGTGTTGCTCTTTGGACTCTCGTTAGACACTAGGAGGATGCTGATCTGGAAGCTGTACGTGGTCTCCGGCTGCAGTCCAGTCAGCACACAAGAGGTCAAGTCATGGCCCATGCAGTCAAACAGATTGTTCACCATTTGGCCCTGTGGAAAATATTAAGGTGAGAAATGGTGTTATTAGGGCTTCTCTCACTTTTTAAAATCCCTTTATTAACCATATTTCTTAAGTGTTCTGAATGCAAAAGTTAGTTTACGGCTCGCTGTCTGATCGCGGATGTGAATCTAAGACTTTCTCAAACTGATGGATTAACGAAAAATTTTCGAAATTTTTTTAAGGTTGATCAAATTGATTTTTCGCAAAACTATCTTATTTTGATTTTTTTTCTAAAACATGTTTTAAAAACATGTCTTTATATCAGGCTGCTTTGAACAGAAATTTGCGTTTTTTGGCGCTCGCGCCCCCTCGAAATTAGTATATATAGGCGCCAAAAACAAACGTAAACAAGTTTTAGGGTATCTCAGCTTTAAATAGAAAATTAGCCTTAAATCTTCCACTGAACAGCTTACAAAACATTTGGGCCTTATAATTAATACCTTCTTATCCTAAAGTTTATCACTGAATATAAATTTGTATGATGAAAAAGTACAAGAACTCAAAACAAATTGATAACAAGGAAAACCGGTTACCGTGCAAGTGGCACAGAATATTCTGACCATGGTCTTAGAAAATACAACAAAATTTTTTCAAATTATTGTCGTTTTTCGGTGTGGTGCGATAAAAGGAGCTGAACAAAAAACTGGAGATAAAGTGTTTTGTCCAAAAATTATGCAGTTTCTTAAGTTTTTGAAAAACTCGAGTCCAAAAAGGCGCTAAAATTTTCACAGAAAACGAACGTTACTCAAGAAAAATTAAGTTATTACGTTTTAATTAAGCTATTGTAATCTCTTAAGCAATTAAAATAAGACTGCTCTCATGCTTTATTCGCTCGAAATAAGACGAAAAAGCAAAAAATTCTAACCGATTTTTCTCGACTTAGGGAAATCATTTTGAAGTTGTTAAAAGTGGTTCAAATCACGACTGGTAGGGCTTTAATATAAAAATTCAATCCAGTCTGATAAATATTTGTGGTATCTGATTTTGCGTGGAAAACAAGAAAAAACTAAAACACATCAGAATGCAAAGTTACTCCCCATTTTCAATGGTCAGAATAAAAACCTAACTACCTGCAAAACTTCTTACAAACACATGGATCAACTGGCAGAAAAATCAATCTAGCCTTAATAAAGTCAAAATATTTGTAGTTCAATCAAAAATTTAACAAGAAAAACAATTAAAACAGACAGTTGAAAAGGAGTCAGTAAGCGCCACTAAATGGAAAAAATACTGACTCAAGTTTCGATTTTTACAGAAAGCAAGACTGTTCTTATCAAGGCGAAGCCCTGAATATTCCAACTGCCGTGCAACTTTTTCGAATAAAGTTCTAGAAATTATCACGAATAAAAAGATAAAGCTGTCTAAAAGAAAGAAAAACTTTGGTTTTTTGTATTTGTTTTTTAAATTTCAACCCATACGCAATCCAAGTACAAAGTAAAATCCTAAGCGTTTACTAGCGTATAATTTACACCAAATAGTGTGCCTCGTTTCAAGTTAGAACGATTTCTGCGCAAATGAAGTAACCGCTACTCGTTAATATGACAAGTTATATCGCGCGTTAATAGTCCTGAATTTGCCAAACTGGTAATTTTGTGCTTTCTGAAAAAAATCACAGGCAAAACAACTTTTTATAATAGAGCTCAAGGCAAAGAAAACTTTTGGATGATAAAAAACTCTCGTTTCAGTTCTATAACAACTTATGATTGCTTTTTTTTGAGAAAATTATGCCAGTTATAGACAAAAGAATCGATGGGTAATATCTTTATTCCGCAAAAAAATCTGAAAATTGGACTTCATTGAAATGAGCTAAATTTTAAAGGAAACCAACCAAGTGATAAACTTCCCCCTAAATCAAATTATAGAGGAGACCGTTCACTTGGTTAAGAGTAAAATTTCTCAGCCAACCAGAATTAAGCATAGTATATATACACAGGCCTTACTGCTTGAATTTGCCATTTAATTTTAGGGGGAGGGAAGATTGTTTTTGGTCTATTGAGGAGGGAGATTGTTCACATGGGCCAAGGAAGCCAAAAACTCCTTAACTCTTAAAAACCATTGCTGATGTTACATTTGAAGATGTTTGTAAACTGAGATTAGATGTTTTCGATGAAATATTCGGTGCTATTTCAAAAAAACGCTTGATCAATTTGATTTCTAATCTTGTCAATGGAGATTTGGAAATTTTTATCTTGATTTTCAACGCATTGGGTAATGAAATATCAGCATGTCTTTGATTTTCTGGACACCTCAGAAATAGCTTATAGTATTTGTGGGGCATAGTAATACCGGTGATGAGTATGTGATCTGGAACCCGATCTTGAGGTTGTCTGCTATTCTGTTGTACTCATCCGGCACTGTCCAATGCAATCTCACACTGGTCGAATTCAACACCTCCACTGTTTCCAACTTTGGTGCACTGATTGTCTCTGGAAGAAACAAAAGCGATGAGAAGGACAAAAATATAGAAAAGATGAAACAAATATTGGAAGGATGAAACGAAGATAGAGAAGATACGAAATAGAAAAGGTCCATTATGTTTCAGGAAATCATTGATTCCAAGTAAAAATCTGAATCAAGTACACCATCCACGTCTCCCATCTATTACCAGGGGTTTGTTACGAATGTCCAATTTTCGCATACACTGACACGCTCGGAAGGATTATAGGGATGGATATTAGTCACTAAAGGTCATAGGATAAACTTTTGACTGGATTCGACAGAAAAACTATATAGATGCGATATCGCTAGTTACTTTCAATCTTGATTAACGTAAATGGCCTTTAAATTTTAGTCGAATGTTCTGGATATTGCAGCTGAAAACTACTTTTAATAATGTGACCTCAGTTTTTCTTTGATCATAGGAATGAAACTGTAAGGCCTTAAATCTCGTTTGTTTTAGAATATGTTTCTTTTTAGAATATGTTTCTTTTTAGAATATGTTTCTTTTTAAGGAAAACTAATGGTAAGGTACAATGTTTTGTGATGCCGAAAGCGGAAAAATTTCGTTTAACTTATTCATTGTCTAATTTTTTTTAAAGTTGTAGCTGCAGTCGCCACACCCAAAACTTTAACACAGATTTATCACTGAAGCGATCTTATAATTCCGTCAAGCGCGCAATACTAATAATACAAGAGTTGTGATCCAACAAATCTGAGAATGAACTAGCTCAGATAGATTTTTAAATGTTCGAAACACGAAAAGTGAGGGATTGTTGTTTATCTTAAATTTCGCTTTTTTTAAACGCAAATTAGCATTTCAAAAAATGGTTTTTGTTTACGGTGCGCGCGGGATTATTGTTTTACTTAAATTTTACTTTTTTTTTTCAAAAATGTCAGGGAAGATGATGTATTATCGTATAAAAACCTTTTCAGTAGTTGTTGAAGAAGCAAAAACTTTTACTCCGTAAAAACTAAAAATTGAGCCGTCAAATAACCTCCAGTAACAGCAGTTCAAAAACTCTAAAAATAATCTGCTTTTTTGTTTCAGGTTTCTCAGACAAATTGATGAGTTTTTTAATGGAAAACCTTTGTTTTCGTTTTTGATTGCCATCAAGGAATTAGCGCTAAACATTTCGCGAAATAACAAATTTCAGCGCTGAGATTGCCATGATTCAGAGCTGGAAAATCTGAAAATTTCAACGACGAGTTAGCAAACCTTTAGCGCTGAATTAGCAATGATTTCTTAGCGATGAAATAGCTATAAAATAGCAAGTTAGAGTACTTGAAACCCCTGCCCACATCCTCCGCTGACTGTAGCACTTCACCGTTCTTACCCCAATTCTCTCACCGTTTACCCTCACTCCACCGTTTACCCCCCTCCCCGCAGTAAAAAGGACGGGCGATGGGGTTGGGAGTTGATGCAAAAACCATGAGGGGTTAAATGGAAAGACCCTAGGGGCATGTGGATGTGAACTTTATGTGGGGGGATAATCCGTAAATACAAAATAATTCCGAACATTGAAAAAAATTAAAAGACAAAAACGATTAATCTGATGAAATAAAAGGTAATGATAACTGAAAATGTTCTGATCGGTAATTGGAAGAAAAATATAATGATATTTTTCTGCTGCTTTATATTATAATGAAATATGTTTAAGCCCGAGCGATTTATCTGTGAATTAGCGATGAATCGGCATTTTTTTCAGCGTTAAATCATAAATTGATTATCGCTTTTTTATCTATGTTCATCAATACAAATCGTTAAAAATAACTTGTAATCATGCACGAGAATTTTGTAAAAACTGTATCAACAATTTTTCATCGATGATTTTTACTGGAAACCCGGCTCTCTCAAAACTAATCAGATAGAAACCTTTTGTGCTACTTGCATGGAAACCGAAATTTTTGGTTAGTTGAAAAAAAATTGATGCTTTTTTAAATTGCGTTTCTCAAATGGGAAAAAGTTATACCTGAATTGATTTTCTTCTTAAAATAAGTTTTACTGATACAGCACATGCCAAGTCATAACGCTACCAGTAATGATGCACACTTTAACAAGGTCATTTCCGTAAGTTAATTAAGAAAACCTACCAAATTTTGATATTTTCTCAGCTCTGTTGGGCTCATTCACTTTTTCGAGGTTGAATTTGGTTTTTTTTTCTTCAATTTTTTGTTAAGAAAGCCAAAAAAATTCGTAACTCGAGTTGTGCAATAACTAAAAACGATTTAAAAAATTTATAAATATTTTGAACTTTTAACCCAAAATGGAAGGCAAACGTTTCTGGATTCAAAGTTTTATAACTTTTCACTGTAAAAGTTTTTGACAGCTTCAGTTCATAAACAAAAATTTCATTTTGTTTCTGTCATTCTTTTCAAAATGATAATTGCCGGTTACAAAAGCCATTATTAATGTTTGTCATACTGCTACTGCAATAGCAGTAATTGATTTATGTACTACCAACCTGCAGTGATATAGTTATTAACTTTGTGGTGTACACAAGGTCACAGTGTGTTGTGACCTTGAAACTTAGTTGAGAGTTCAGAGTTTTCAATTCTGACTTCTCTCAGTAACTAATCAAAAGACAGAAAATAGAAAACAAAGTTCAATGTATCAGAATACATTATTGAATTACAATTAGTTTTCACACGATACCGCATAGGATATCACAATGTTTTAGGCCTGTTTTTCTCTGTTTTCTTTGCCTCCTCTTCGCAAAAAGCTCGATTCTTTTAAACATGTTTTTTCAAAATTATTCTAGTAGGAAACTTCGGTACTACTTGCAGAGAAACCGACAAAAGTTGTCCGTTTTTCATGCAGTTTTACATCTCAATTTGTGTTTTTTAAATGAATTTGATTTAGTTTGATTATGAATTTTTTTTTTCAAAAAAAGACATCCAGTTTCTCTTCCAGTCTCTCTTTTGATTGCTGCTGATATACAATTTTCGAAATACTGTTTAAACGAGTTCTGTTTCTTTAAAGCATGCTGAAATAGAACACGGCGAGCAACGGAAGAGCCTTAAACAATCGTTTTATGCAAATTTACATAGTAACAATTTGTACGCAGCTTGAACTTCTACGAGGAATAGTAGGAAGCAGTCGAAGAGACAAAATTTGACATGCAGGTAGCGAATTGATGAAAACAATCACCTGATCACAATTTGCTGATACGGTTTTTTCCAATCCTATTTTTTCACTTCATGATTTCAAAATTTTTATCGTTGAAACCCATCAAGAACGTTTATGTTCATATGTTTCTTACGGGCTAAAACAAAACGGAAACTGAAATCATTATCAATTTTTGTGCGTTATTTTTTCAATGAGTTTTTCAAACTGAGTTTATGAAACTGTCTTTTAAATGCAAGAAAACTGACAACAGTCCAGCAAGACAAACGTAAGTGGATTTGAATTCGTAAATCAATAGACATGCTAAAATTATCATAAAGCCAACTAAAATTATGCAAAACCCTTAAACATGCAAATCGACAGACTGGTCTTAGATGAAGTGAAACATGCTTACGGATATCAATAGTGCACATGCGTTGATTAGCTGAAAAGGGGCCCCTCCCAATAGCATTGTTGGCACACACGAAGAAATCGTAACAGGTGCTTTCATCTAAATTTTTCACTAGAGCTGAAGTTTCTAGCACACTGATTTTCTGAAAATACACCATGTTCGAATCAGTCGGAACAATCGGTGCGTTGCCTATTGTCGTGATCCGGTAGAGCACAGTGTAATTCGTTATTTTGTCCTTCTGCGATGTGTAACTCCAGCTGAGAGAAATTGAGTTCAAGGTTACAATTTTTGCGCCCAATTCGACCGGCTTACTTCTTGGAACTGAAATAAGTGATGATCACTACAAAACATGCCATGCAAATATTAGAAGTCATGATGATTTTACACACATGCAAAACAAAAAAAATCCTGGTGAATATTTAAATTATTAAATTAACAATTATTTTCTAAAGATTGTACCCGCATAAAAAGTATGTTAACACAAAGATTCTCTGATTCGAAATGATTTTTTCAATTTATTTCATAAAATTTTTCTTATTTTTTTAAACATTATATGAGCATACAGATTCGCTGATGCAAAATATTCTTTTTTCAGACTTATTTTGGGGCCATTTTGAAGCCTTTGAAAACAATAACGTTTCCTCTGTCAATCTTTTGAGACATCAAAAAGGCCCAAATAAGGGTAACTTTGAGCCTTTGACACGCTGAGCTATTGAAACTTCCCCTCCTTATCATACACCATACCATATTTGCTTGCACTCTAGTTTCTTTGTTTAAGCCTTTTCAAAACTATCTCTGATGTTAAAAACATGCAGAACTTGAATCTCTGAAAATTTTTAGTTTATACACTTTCAATTTCCAATTTAACGGGGGTAAAACTAAATAAACAAGACTGCTCGCATCAGGGCGGAGTCCTGAATATTCCGACTGTCTTTTAAGGTCTATAGAGCAGTAATAACATGAAAAAATTAAATGTAATAAAATAAAATTAAAATACTTATTTAAAAAAAATTGAGATTTTTTGTAAAAGCATCTTCCCACACGTCATAAAAAGTACAAAGTGATAGACTTTGCTCCTATTAACGGATTAACGGAAACTTCTCGAACGGTTCTTAAATGATAAAGCATACTTCAAATAAAAAATAATTTTTTTGGCGAAAAGTAAGACAAATTGAAATAGTGTATAAAAAACGATACATGATAATCCAGCCTCGCTAAACTCCTGAAAAGGAACGCCTTAGCTTGATTACACCAAAAACGTCTTGTGAAAACTTGTCTTCTCTTTACCTGCGCGGTTCAAATCGAAGTTGGTTTTGCTTAAGTTGATGTCACTTCTGTTCATTTTGGTGTTGAAAAAGTATTGTTTGAATCAGCAAAAACTTGTAAATCTAAAAGCGAACTTCAACAAATGTTGAACTAAATTTACTGCTATGCCATGCCCAGCCCTATCTACGCAAATAAAGCACCAGAGCTGATATTATTGTTCCGGATGAAACAAAACAAATCGGAAAACTTAATTTTTTTTTATCTCATTGTGTCAAAGTGAAACAAAAATGACGAAAACAAAAGTAGCTCACAATTTCACCAGAAGTACTACTAGCTCTACGAGCTAAAGTTATCACTTTGTACTTTATATGGCGTTTATTCTTATTTTTTTAATCTACATTAAATTTTTTTCATGTTATTACTGCTCCATAGACCTTAAATTAAAAGGCAGTCGGAACATTTGATGCTTCGTCCTGATACGGGCAGTCTTGTGAAAATGTGTTTTTTTTCTTACCTGTGCGGTTCAAATCGAAGTAGGTTTTGCTTAAGTTGATGTCAATTCTGTTCTTTTTGGTGTTGAAAAAGTGTATGTTGAATCAGCAAAAGTAAATATTAGTAAATCTAAATATAAACTTCTACAATAGTTGATTTAAAATTACTTGCATGCCATGCCAAGCCCTATCTACACTAACCAAGCACCAGAGCTGATATTCTTTATCTGGATGAAAAAAAACCGAAAAATTAAACTTTTTTATCTCTTTGTGTCGAAATAAAACAAAAATGATGAAACAAAAGTTGCTCACAATTTCACCAGAAGTTTTACTTGCCAAAAATGTCATTTTCATAAAATTTCAATTCGTTGTTGAAAAATAATTTTTGATTGTTTTGCGCAAATTTTTAATCTTTGGAACCTTCTAGAATTTTGATCATTAATTGCTTTTTGACCTTTGCGTACTAATCATTTTTTGAATAGTTTCAACCCATTTAAAATATCGCGTTTTAAAATTAATATTTTGGTTTATTTTGTCCGCATCTCAAATAAACGTCACATGGATTGATCGACAACATTAAAATAATTTGAGAGGTAACTCGAGCCTCAATGAAAAATTGCGAAAAATTTTACTTGGTTTTGTGAACAACGGTTTGAATATTTTTGTTGCTTCTCAGACAATTTGAGAACCTGAAGTGAAAATTGGATTAAAGAATTGATTTTTTGAACGCAGTGCTTCAAAAATGAAATTCAAAGAACTCAAAAATAAAATTTCTTTCGCAGTTCAAGAGAAAAGTTTAATTACCCTCCACACCTTTCCTAAATCCTAAAAAATTCCTAAATCTCTAAAAGCATTTGTAAAATTTCAAGTTTTTTTCTGCATAAATTATGCGGTAGGAACATATGTTTTACTTGCACATTAATCGGCTGACTTTTTTCGCTATTTTAGTTTTGTTTTTACAGTCAAATGATAGCAACACAGACATAAGGATTTTTAAGATCAATCGTATTTATATGACGCTCACGAAGGGTGTTAAGAAAAATGTAAGTATGGTATGTTATCATAATTTAGTGAACTCAACTTTAAAAACATACGATTTATTAAGTTCTCAACCAACGAATCGTTGAGGACCTCGAACCTCGGAACTTCCGACTGAGAGGCCAAGGTCTCAGCAAGTTACTGATTAAAGCGCTCATTTCTTAATAAAACGCTCGATAGTCATTCACTTTACTTCTTGATTAATGATAGTGAGATTTCGGTGTTTATTCTTCAGAGACCAAAACCATAGCTGGTGCACGTATTCTTGACAAACTTTGTAATGAATGGTTAACTTCCTCAAAACTTTTTTTATTCAATCGGAAAGATTTCTGTTTAAAATATTTAGTTATGCGAAATCAGGTTTTCATTTACGCACACCACCGTAATTAGAGGGGGGAGGAGGAGGAGGAGGAGGAGGAGGAGGAGGAGGAGGAGGAGGAGGTGTGTATTCGACACCTTGCCGACCCAAAGGCCCCCCCCCCCCCTTTGTACTATTTTGAGTTATCCAGCTTTTTGATTTTGAGAGCGACATGGCTGACTGACCCTAAAATTACGCATACAAGCTTTTAATTTTTTTTAGATTTTTCATTTTTAAGCTTCAATGGTTCATTTTGAGGAAAAATTGCCGCTAAGGAGGAAACATGAACCAAATATTGAACAATAAGAATCACATTTTGTTTGATTTGGATCTAAGGAACCTGACATAAAGAGCTTTTGAAAATCAGAAGCTATGCGCATGAACAAAAGCTAAAACGGCTGTTTCTAGATCAAAAACATCTCACTGAAATCTTTTCAGAAGATCAAAAAATGGTTGAGTCAAGAAACAAGAAAAAATCCCTGTTAAACCCCAGCTTTTTTAATTTCTAATTCACGAGCTGAACGTAAATCTTCAAGGCAACTTTTTAGCGCAGAAATAGGTTGCTTGAATTCACTCTTGATTGTTGCATTGTATTACTCTTCATAAATCACTGATAAAACTGATAAATCATTGGTAAAAATAAAACAAAATTCCAATCATCCCATAAAACCCTTCTGCGAAATGCATTTATGACATTCATCCTGAAAATAATAAAATCCTGAGTCATTTTAAATTAAAATTTTCCGGAAAGAAGACAAGCCTTCTATAAACCATATCTTGTATACTGCCATGGTAAATTTGATAAAAGGGAATTAAATAGTCAGCCTTTGATAAAATTCACAATGAATGAAACTTACCCGCTTTGAAGGTGCTGCAAGCTATACTCTCGCTCATCGGTCCCGCGACGTCGTCCAAATTCAGGGCAGTCGCGGTGAATGAATACTTGGTGTCGGGCTGCAAGCCTCGTATTGTTGCGTAATATCGCATATCATACATGAGGGAAACCTCCATCGGGGAAATTTCCCTAGTTCTGGTTGTGCCTTTACTGGCTGAGTCGTTGTAGTACACTCGGTAGCTTTTGATGTCTTTGATGTCGATGAGAGCGACTGAACTCCACGAGAGGTTGACGGCGTTGGACGAGATGACCTCGGCACTGAATCGTTCCATCACACCCGGCACTGAAATCACATGACATCCATTTCTAATTGGCAATTAAACGATTTTTTTTTAGAAAATAATGAACGAACTTCAAAATCATTATAAATGAGTTAAAAATCAATAAATGAGTTTAAAATCATTATTCGAATAGATTTAGTTCCTAAAAGCGGCTTAAAATGTTTTGTGAAGCAAAAAACCAATTGGTTTTTCAAAATGGTTTCACACAAACTGTTGAGTTGGTTATATAAAATGGGTTCAATAATAAAATTTCGATTCTAGATAAAAATTAGTATAAAAACAAAAACCTGTGGTCTTATCAGCTTTAATGCTGAGCATGCATCGTGAGATATACTTCCTTGCCATTGAAAAGGGGAAAAGGCAGCAGCGTTTGAGGTCAACTTTAGTGAAAAAGTTTCTCAAAAACTTTTTTGTAAAAATTATTTACAAGTATATCAATAACAAAAAAAAAAACATTTTGTTTGACAAGCACGAATTCATGTTTAATAAAGCAGCAAACTCAGAAGCGGATCAAGTCTTTTTTCATCATATAATAAGTCTATTAAAAGAATGAAAAAAATTTCTGTATGACTTTCTGTAAAAAAATGGAAGAAAAAACTCAAGTAGTCTGAAGTCAGCAAATTGATCTGATAGCGAATATCAATTTTTCTAGAAAAAAATTCTAATTTCTTTTCAAATTTAGCAATAATCACCATTGAAAATTTTGGTTTCATTTAATTTGACTTTAAATTGATTGAAAAAATTGATTGATGATAAAAATTTGGACCAAATCAAAAAGGAGGAACTTCAACAGCCAAAACTGTCATATGGGGTTGAGTGCGGTATCAGTCCTAACTAACCACTAATCAATCCGAAATATCGTTCTGAAAAAAATTTATATTAAAACCACTGATGCGAAACTTTTAGGATGAATGTAAGTTAAAAATATAAAGTTTTGACAGGCCAAACCGCACCCGCTGTTGGGTGCTTGGCAAATTACTCAATTATATTTGATAGTGGATATAGTATCCATTTAGATGAACAAATTATTGAACTAAATCTTAGTCTCAGTCAAATTACTGAACTTAATCTTAGTTTTAGTCTCAGAACACCATGCACAAATAAAACTTCACGCGGTTGATGGTTTTTTGATTTGAATTTCATCACACATTGAGTTACCAACCTCCTTTTTCTAAGCATAATCATCGAAAAGGTTAACTCCTTGCAACTAGATGTTTGTTTGGTGACTTTGTCGAGGAAAGGCAATTAAAAAGCAAAAACTCAGACACGTTGAAGAATAGCGTAGATGGTATATAGCCAAAACCTAAAGAAAATTGGAAAAAAAATTCAAATTTTCTAAAACTTTTAAGAGATCATTTAATATATAGGGTACTCTAAGGTATCTACAGCTTGTAATGTTGAGTTTTATTTTGATCTTTTTTTTCAAATGGATCAATCGTGCACCTGTTTAACTGCAGATTACGCGCATCAAAAGTCATTTGAAAAATTAGCAAAAACCTGGTTTTAAAATTATAATGCTACGTGTATTACCATTGTGAACACTTTTTTAGGACTATTGTCAAACTTTTTTTCGTTGAGTTTTGCAAACAGAACAATTTTGAATAAAAGTTGTAGTCATATACAGAGAAATTTGACATTTACAAATCAGACTTTCTGTAGTTTAAAAAATGTTTCAGTAGGCTTTTCACTGGTAATTTGTGGACATTGGTTGATATATGGAGCACTGGTCTGACAAATATTCAAATACGGATTTGGTAGAATTAGCAAAATAATGACTTGAGCGTTTTTTAACCACTAACAATATTCGCAACTAGACACTTCGATTAATTGGGCGCTTCACTACAAACCGACCGTTGGGACTTCAAGCGATTAGATATCGAGAAAAAACCTAGCAATATAGAAAAAAAATTAAAATCAAAAGCAACTGACACTTTTCAAGTAAAACGAGTGTGACATTCCCGTAGTGAGGTTCAGGGGCTGAAAAACAGGATCAATTGGGGGATCCCCCCAATCTGGTTTAGGATATAAAGTTTTGATTTAGTAAGAGGTAACCATTGTTTTTTGTGCTCTTTTAATTTCATACCTCCAACTGTGGTGGGAAAGGTGTAAATGTCGGACAGTTCACTTTGGCCGTACGCATTAACCGCCTGTGCTCTTGCCACCATCGTTTTTCCAGGTGGGTATTTTTCAGGGTGGTACATCCTCTTGGTCTGTCGCTTCTGCCATTGGTTTATATTATCATTCTTCTTGTTATAATCAGTGTAGTAGAAATTGTAATACCTAAAACAAACAGCCTCATAAAACAGGGAGCAAAATGGCGCACTTGTAATTACAGAACGAGTTGGTCCAAATCAATTTATGACTGCTCGTTCTTCTTTTATGTTCCCCCACCTGAGGCTAAATAAGTAATGGTGAATGGATAATGTGGACCGAAGATCAATCGCCACAGCAGTCCAATTGAGGGCACGCGTCTTACCAAAGAAAAAGCTTCAACAAATCCCAAATAAAGCCAGCATCAAACGAGTTCGAAGAGATCGGAGCTCAATGATTTATGAATCAACATGATTATCAAAATCTTACAATTTGTCAAGAAGTTCAAAATAAGTTAAAAATTATGGTACGAATCGACGATTTGAGTCATTTTTTTCTTGTTATTGTTAGATCTGTTCTTGCTTAAATTTAATTAACTTAAAGATTTTCTTTTAAAAAGCTCGTTATTCGTTTGCTTGAGACACGTCCTATCTCAAAATCAATTTGAGGATTGCGAGACATTCTTTTGTAATCTCAAATAAAATGAAGAAAACGCAGGAAGAAGTATTATACAAAGTAAAACGAAACAAAAGTGGCAAACGAAATCAGCCACTATTAGACTCTTGCGCTCACGGTGAAAAAAAAAATCAGAAAACTTAAAATAACTTCGATTAAACTCACTGTATGATACCATTAGGTCGTTCTGGTTTCTGCCAGCTGATTTCCACTATTTTAACATCATTATTCAGCTGCTTGTACTGCGCGCGTAAGTTCACAGGTGGCGAGGGTGTGAACTCTCCTGTTTTCATTATCCCCAGAGACGAGTTCGGCCCTCGACCTACATCGTTACTACACGCGATCTTCGCTTGGTACTCGGAATAGGGCGCCAGCCCTCGCAACGTCGTCCCGGTGACACTATCAGCGTCCTGGGTTAACCAGACGCTGTTTTCGACAGAGGTGTTTTTGTAAAACACTGTGCAGTTTAGTGATGCCGGTGCCCGTTGCGGGGTCCATTTCAGATCTGCGGTGTGAATATCAGCGTCGACCCGAAGACTTATTGGGGTACCGGGAGGCTCTGAAAAAGAAAATTGAATTGAAAAAAAAAGATCTGTTAGCTTTTCCGCCGATAAAAAAACGACACAAAATCATAGAAGTTGTTCAACGAGTTGAAATTAGGGCTAAGTCAAATTCAGAAGTGAACTAACCACCATCATACTATTATATCTTCGACACCAATAGACGTTAACTTTGAGGGCAGAGCGCAATTTTTGGTCTACAATAATTCCAAAAAGAGCTTTGACGTTGAAGATGGTTTTGCGAATAGTTTGTACGAACCTAGCACGATGACATTGACAATTGTCTCAATTGGCGGATGAGTTCCACTTGTGACTTTGCATCTAAGCGTCTGGTTCATCATGGCATTCATCAGAATGTAGGAAGTCCTAAAAATTGAGAAAATTAATCTGATGAGTAGTTAACTGTAGCATTTGGTCTCATATTGGTTATCACAAAGGATTTTCCAACCAAATTCAGCATTTTGTTAGTATTTTAGGTTATTTGACAAGATTAATATGCTCAAATGTCAAAACTAAAAAAACGGCATATCAAACAAAAAATAGGCGAAAGCTCCCGAAGAAAAGTTTTGTTTTTGCAAATTAAAACTCAGAGACTGGGAGTAATATAATCTTTAAAACAATTCCTTTTTCATTAGTTTTTCGCGAAGACCCGTCCAATCCTAATTGGAAATCCTCTTATCAAAATTAGATATTTCACAGTATGCGTAACATGTTCGCGTGCAAAAAAAACATAAAAACAGAAGTAACAAAAGGCTCTTCAAGTTCAGATTTTATTATTTCCGAAGAATGTTTCCTCTAAAGTTATCAGCTGTTCAACAACACTTCAGCTCTGAGGTTATTAAAATTTGCGATTAGAATGGCATTAAAACCTTGCTGAGTGGTAGGGCGTGAATAATTCAATATTTAGTTGAGTTGGAAGCCTCTTTTTATCAATTAATGAGAAATTGGACTGAATATAAATGAGACATAAAAATACGGATAAATAAAATCAACTAAGACTGGGATTGTTTTTTCGGCGCGCGCTCCCCTCTCAAATTTAGTTAAATAGGCACCGAAATAGTCTTTAGAACAATTTTGAGACTGGTCAGCCAAAAATGTACGTCGTAAAATTTTACCAAAGGAGGGTCTCTTTGGAAAAATTTGGCGACCAAAAATGAGGGAGAGAACGGTCGGATCCCCTACCCCTCCCCACATCGGCACGCTACTGGCCCTGAGGAAGCACAGAAAACTACGATAGCAATTTGACTGCCACTATCTCTATTAGCAACAAAAGTCATCCGCAAAGTTTAAGGAAAGCCACGTCTCAATAAAGCAAACAAGACTGCTGGAATCACGGCAAAGCCCTTAATATTGACTGCCTATCGCTGTTCTTGAGATAGTTTTTAAAATCATCAATTGAAAAAAAGCCAATGACATTTTCAAAACAACTTGAAAACTGTTGAAATTTAAAACCTTTTTTTTTCACTAACATCTCCCCGCGCTAAGCCGAAGACAAAATGGCTATTTTGACGTTTAGTGACGTATCAATTACACCAAACTTCTTCCACACTTCGATTTGGAATAATTTATGAGCAGATTAACTCGCTGCTTACACGTTAATATCAAGAAAGGTATCGCGTGTTATTTGTCCACAACTGCAAAATTTTAAACCCCCAAATTTTATAAAAAATAATCACAGGTGAAAATATTTTTGAATTTGGAATTTAAAACAAGGATACCTTTCAAATAATTTTTAACGAAAATTAAAAAGTCAAAACTGCTATGGAAAAAAACACACTGAAACCTTATAATCCGTCACTTTCTTCGAAGGTAGTCGGAACAATAAGCTAAATTTATAGATAAAGCAAACCAGAACACCAAACAATTGGTGACAAGGGAGTGAAACAGAATGATTTTTGCCAAGCCTGTTTTATTTTCAAACTAATGTTTTTTTTCAAACATTTTTGTTCAGTTTTACTTTTTAGGTTTCTCCATCTCACTTTGTCAAGTAAAAATTGATTTTTTTTTCGTCTAGTACCGAAACAAAACGAGCAAATTGTTTCAACTTGCAATGATTTATTTCTCGGAAGAAACTTGAGTATGACAAATCGTTTTATGCGTTCGATACCCGATTTTGAATTTTTTGGTCAATTAGTCCCAATTTCAAATCCCTATAACTCTAGAATAATTAGTCGCGAGTTAAAATTTTGGAAACTGATATTTTTGCAGTAAAAATTGTGTTGTAATGCTGCTAATAAGCGTGTGTGGAGGTGTTAAAAAACCAATTAAAATTCAAAATTTTTCAACTTTTTTTGAAAATGTTATTGGCTTTTAAAATGGTAAAGAATTCCGTCAAAAACGGCCAATTAAAAACTCTAAATTTTTCTGAAGAAAAATTTACCGCTAGCACAAATATTCCGTCATTTTCTTCCACAAACGGAATGTTATGGAAAAATGATCAAATATGGCAAAAGCTATTAGAGAAACCGTCAAAAATTATCTAAAGAAAAAAAACGTCCCAGGAGGTGCTCGTTTTGTTTATTTTCTTCGAAAAGCAGATTAAAATTGTTAAGCCAATATAACGATTGAGAATTAAAAACACTGTAAGAAACTTTTAAAAGTATTCAAATAATTTGTAATTTGTTGTAATTTGCCGGAGATTTTTATATTTACTTGTGATGAGAACCAATTGATCAATAATAAGTCTTTAATATTATAAATCATCGAAAATTGAAAATGGAACTTCCGCAAAGAAATTTTTGTTCAGGCGCTTTTGTCGTTACAAAAACTGAAGCAGAGTATTTTCTGAAAACTGAATATTTTCTGGCAGTTAGAATGGGGACACTGGAAGCCAATTTCTTCATGCACTGTTACAAATGCATTGAAAATAACTACTGTTGCATTAAAAAAATACAGAAAACCGTTTAAGTCTTCAAAAAACGAAACAAATTCTTTCAGACAAAAGGGCACCTAGCACTTCAAAAATCTATTGAGACTTGTTTCCTAATTGTTTTTTTGGGCTGCACTTTTTAAACAGCTAAATAAATTCAATATATCAGCTCTAAAATTCTATTTGAATTAAGGAACTTTTGAAACACTTGACCTGAGCAAAATTCCGTTTTTATTGTTGAAGGAGGTTCTTTTGAGAGATACTTATCAGTTTTTCATAAAAAATGTTGCTAATTATTATTTGATGTGCTGTAGAACTGAAATAAAAAAAATATATTCAAAAATTAGTCATTAGAATGTTTCTTAAATGAATCCCAAAAAAGAATCCCAAATTTCCACAAGATGTCTCTGCTATTTTTAATTCCGTCCTACTTTATATATAAGTTATGTGAAATGAGATTTTTCGCTCTGCTCCGACTTTTATATTTTGTGGAAAAACAATCGAAATCCGCTCGAGAAGAATTTAAAATCATTTTTCGAAAAGCAGACCTTCAGAAAAAAATAAGAAATTGAAGTTTCTGCTAAATTGTTGGCAATATTGTACACCGTCAGATAATTTAAGGAAAAATTAGATAATTTGAGAGATTAAAATTGACAAAACTTGTGCGTTTTGACAAAAAAGTATGTACAAAAGATTTCATTAAAAATAACTTTCAATGGTTGATTAAAGCATTTAAAGGTGCCAATATTTCCACCTAAAAAGCATTGATAACAGACAATGAACGAATGATAGAAAGTTTTTTGTCAACGACTTCAATCACCGAAGAGAGCCTTTAACCTTCTCCCAATTTAAGACAAAACATGCTATTTGTCATAATCATCAACTCAAAGTGTTAGACGAAACCGCGTACACACCTCTTTGAAAACTTTTTGTTAATGTGTTGATCACGTCTTGTGTAACTTTCAATATACCAAGAGAAATTCAAACCAACTTTAGCGAAGAGCCATAATCTTTGTCGAGGTCACTGAAATTGAAAGAGGTTTAAAGTATTGCGAATTAGTTTCATCAGTCAAGAAAAATACATAATGAAACATATTTTCATAAAACATCATTTCGATTAGAAAGAGAAGTGTTTTGTATAATGTAAAAGTTATTTGACAAAAAACCTTCGAAGGTGGGCGGGTTTTTCAATTCCCAAAAAAGGACCACCATTATTATACTCTTACAGTATGCCAGATTATCATAATTGGAAAAAGCTAAATACGCTGAAAACTATACTTTTCTTCATATCTCTAAGATGTTCCACTAGGGATCTGATCCTATAGTTTCGACTGTGGATAAACTACATCGACTACTAAGTCGATAAATTAATAGATCGACTATGGATAAACCAGCCGAAGTATAAACGAACCGAAACTGAGCAGATTCGATAAGCCAGCCAATTTTTTTTAAACTAATTATTACATAATTGTTAGAGAGAGACAATTATTACGCAACGGCTAAGTGTTTTCCACTGGTTTATACTTGAGCTGATTTTTATAACTCCACAAATTATCAGCCAACCTGTAGTTTTGCTCGTAGAGTTCTGTGCTGGGTACTATAGACTCCACTCCACCCAGTGTGCGGTACCACTTGATCTTGGGGATGGGGGCTGCATTAGCTGAGCAGTTCAGAACTTTCGATTGTCCTTTCTTTAGCACAATCTCAGTTGGCAGAGCGGGACCGATGAATTTGGGTGGATAGTTGCGAGCTGAAAAAAATGACCGGCTCAACATATAGAGGCGGGTTCATTGATGGGTGCCTTTAAGATTCTTAGGAAGAGAGTTTTTTGTGCGTTCTCATTCTAATTATTTTTTAAAAATCTATTTGCAACAACTACTGCACTTCGAAAGCAATACATGACCGCTCTTTTCTTGGCGCGGGAATCGACATGACCTGTAAACTATTTATGTAGGAGAGAGTTATACATATACAATGCATTAATGAAATTGCTTGTACCGAAAATTTCACGAAAGATCATGCAAAAACCTATACAACATGTTCAGTTACCTGTTTCGAATCATCTTGAATCATATCGTTTAATTAAAAGTATAATAGCATTCAAGGGACTTTTTTCGCCATGACCACTGCCCTAATTGTGCTCTTGTTTTCAAATTAGGCAACGTTTTGGTTGTAGAAGCTCGAGTAGTACGTCGCCTTTTCAGCGGATCCGAATTAAAAGTATCAAGAGTGCTTTTTCCTGTAAGTTGTGTTGAAGTTTTATAAAGAAATGTTTCAGCCGAAAATTGTTTCTAAATCTTATTCATGCAAGATATATGAAGCTTGGTCAAATTTGCCATCAAAAAATTTAGTTTTGAAAAAACATTTTTTCATAAAAAGTTTTCACCAAGACGAGGCACAAGCAATATGGACAACCATGAAAAAACTTTGGTTTTGCTCAGCAGTTGTTAAATAAAGTTGCAAAAATTTTGAGAAAGACACTACCCTATATAGCAGTCCATCAATTTCAGCTAAGAGACGCGAAAATTTTATTAACACAATTTTTGAATTTAAACCCTTTGTCGACCTGTATTCCTTAGTATTTGAAATCAAAACTTTCAGCCATCACACTGTTGTCAAAAACTTTTTTTTCACTATTGCAAACTCCAATTTTCATCACGTTGCATTTCGATTGGTTTATTAAAAGCTTGCTATCTATACACCAGTAACTATCATTTTGCAGTGCTGACAGAAATTTCAGAACTTAAAAGCAAGTTTCTGAAAAAACAAAAAATATAAAACAAAATTACTTGAAAGCTGATGGCTGGGGGCATACAATTAATCTATAAAAGAGTCAAAACAGGACCCAGTACGGATCAGCGTGGAACACCTTTCATTCAATTTAACCTATCCGAAATTGATTTGTTTGAATAGCTCAATTGTTGTAGATTTGTGATATAACTACACAATGAATTTTAAATTTTCTCTCGAAGACCAAATGAATAATTTTTTTCGAGTAAACTTCTCTTCCAACGGTATCAAATGCTTTCGTTAGGTCAAAAAAGGCAAAAAATAATTGAAAATTTTTGTTGTCAAATGATTTCCTTGTAAAACGTGAAATTAATTTAAGTTACAATATTAGATAAACGTTTGAAATTTTTTTTGTTAAACTCAAAAAGACAATAAAACTATTGAACGATAATCATTGTTTTTTTTTCACCACATTTATGCAGTTGTAGTTTACTTAAAAATTTGAAAAAATTAGAAAAAATTCTTCTGAAAGAATGCATTGAGAAAATACGCTCAATGGTGATAAGTCAGCACTGGACTAGAAGCTTTCAGAGTTTTTATACATATCCTATCATGACCAGTTGATTGTTTTTGTTTATATGTTTAAGCTCCTTCAAGACTTCGCATCTATTAGTATCATGTAACACAAATATGTGTTACATTGAAAACTGGCCTGTAAACAGTTTGGTCAATAAATTTCCAATTGTATGAAATTTTTATGAGCCTTAGTGAAAATATGAGCAATCATTTGATAAAATACTGAACATTTCTTGCAATTGTTTGCTTTTTTTTTGTTTTGTTCAATGATCTTCGTGTTTTCGCATATGAGTCTGGTGGTCTTTTCGTTCGCAAGTTGCAGTTTGTCTAGAATTTGGAGATTTCTAGCAGTACCCCTAATTGGGATACTGTGCAAACATCCGACATGTCAACCATTGGAAAAATCAAAACAAAACAAGGATAGCCAGTTACTGCGCCTGTAGCAAAGAATGTTCCGAACTTATTCTTTAGAATACTACGGTTTAGAAAGTTTTTTTTTCAAATTAGTCTAAGCTTTCTGGTTGGTATGATAAAAAAAGATCTGACGTAAAAAAATAAATTAGGCATATTAAGCAGTCATAATACCATAGGAAAATTTGACGAAAAAATTCGTTAAAAAATATTAGAAATTTTAAAAAAAAATTCAAAATTTTTTAGCAGATTTTTTTGATTTTTTTTCTCAAGTTTTTGGTTCCCAAAAGGAAGCTCAAAAACTCCAAAAACTAGCTTTGCTTGCTCAAACTTAAGTTAAAAAGCCCTAAATCAGGCATAAATCAGCTGTTCTAAGCATGCTCGCTCGCTTTATTTGCTCGAACTAAAACGAAAACTCAAAAATTTCAAACCGGTTTTTCTTGACACTAGAAAAAATTTTGGGAAATTGTTAGTGTTGTTCGAATCACGATGAAAAAAATTTAATGTGATATATCATTCAATCCAGTCCGATAATAATTGTTTGTTGTACCTGATTTTGCGTGGAAAACGAAAAGAAAAAATAATAAAACAAACCCGAATACAATGTTCCTCCCCATTTTCACTGATCGGAATAAAAAGTGTTGAAAGCGTTCGAAAAACGGCTTTACTAGGGCAGGCATCCGACATTTTTCAAAAAGTAGGGCAAATATCCGATTTCAAACGTTCGTTTAACAGATGCTCTAGTAGTCAATGAAGGCGAATCAATGTTGCAAGCTTGACAACAGAGGGCGGCGACTCTATGCGAATATCCGTTTATATATAAAAGATTTCATGCAAAGCGGTGATGCGCGCGTAGCGAGCCCACCGGCGACCTTAAGCCGAGAGTCGGCTAAGTTGAAATTGGTAACGAATTACGTCTTGTTTTTGTAATTCTAAGGTCATATTATTACATAGTTATTATGCAAGTTGGAGTGTGTGATATAGCGGATGTTTAACATATCGGCTGTTTGCCCTAGAACCCTCTATTTGGTATAGATTCTGGGTCAGCGTTTTCTTATTTGTTTCAAAAAGCGAATGAAGTGCAAGGAAAAAAATATGTTTCAATGGAAGTTCTGTTAAATATCCTCCGGAAAAATAATGTAATGATGAACTTTTGTTCTACCTCTGGCGTAGATGACTACATCTGAAGAGAGTGCAGTGCCTTGTTTGTTGGTGACCTGCAGAGTGTAGGTCCCACTGGCACCATTTGTCACCTTCTGAATCTCCATGGAACCTAGAAGTTTTTAATATAAACATATCATAGTTAAGGGGAGGGGGGGGGGGGTGCGGCTGGGAAAAATTCTAGATCTGCCCCTGATTCTAGACATGCAGTAACCCATTTCGAAACTTCCGTTCAAACGCGAATTCTCCATAGTTGCACTATTATTACCACACGCCGAATTTTCATTCAATCATTCATCATGCGTACTTTCATCAATGTCAAAGTGTTCAAATAAATCATTTAAGCATCATTGTCACTTGTTATTGAAACACAAGCCATCGTGAAAAAATGACGTAATTTATCTCAAACTTGCAATCTTTAAATACTACAACAAATTTCCGAGCTGTCGTCCGAAATTTTTAAATTTCAACGTCAACGTTGATCCTTTTGACTGGCACTTAATGAACCACTCCTACAAAGATTTTTCCTGCTTCACCTACAAATTTTTGTGATGCTTGTAAAACATTTGCAGAAAGCAACAAATACGAGAAAAAAACAAGAAAAAGCATAGATAAGAAAAAAATATATGCAAGAAGAATTACAGTAGAAGAATTTACAGAAAACTTCATAATTTGTCAGCATGTGTTTAGGACCTGAAGAAAGTTGGTAACAACTATCACAATTTCATTTTTATTGCCCTTTTATTGCTGTACGGTCAATTTTCGACTGATTAGGCTTTGTGAAAAAGATTTTTAAAATGTCAGCTGGAATGAGAAATAGTCAGAATAGTAATGGAAAAAGAAACAAAATAGGGGCTTATACTAAATGAACATTTATGAAGCTGTCAAGAAAAAACTATCAATCGTGTGTAAATACTTCCGTCGTTCAGGTAATTCTGACGGTAAGAATTATAACAAACGACTTTAGAGCTGGCTTTTAATTTCAATCACACCCACAAGTAACCTTTGTTAGTCTGACCTATAGAGCTGACTGTAAAATCAATAAATGCTGATTGCGTATATTGCAAAGGGGCAAAGTGACAGACAGCTCCCCGTAACATTGATCAAAAGCCGCCGCCATTTGCCGTAAACAGTTTTTTGAAGTATTATTTATTGGAGGTTGCTACCGATACTTTTTTTCTGAAATTGTTTGAAACTGAACAAGGACTCTCAGTTAAAGACAAAGATATATATGAATTTTTGTATGCATGTAAAATATGATGAAGCATACAAAAAAAATTGAAAAATTTTTCAAATCCCCCGACGCTATGTAGTTTAAGAAGTGACATATTTAGCGACCAGTTAATTTTGAACAGGATCAAGTACCTTTTTATAGCTTTCATTATTTAGCGTGGAGAAGATTCCAAATTACAAAGTAATCATTTTTTGTGAAATTTTAAAGATTTTTGAAATTAAAAACTACTTAGACTTTCAAAATTTTGCATGAATACGAGCAGTCCTGATTTTTCTTTGTTTTCATTTCCAGAAAGCAAGTTATACCTTTTATAAATTTAATTTTGTTGTCTATTCTGAAAACAACACATCAAATTTGAAAAGTTAGACCAGTTTTTTTGTTTCCCATGATATTCGAAAAAAAAACATTTTTTCGAAACTAAGAAGTAGAATCAGTTTTAATTTAAAATATCTAGTCACCATGCGGATTGCTTTTTTCTCGTTTTAAATTTCAACTTTAAAAATAAAGAGGAGATGAATTAATGGGTGGTGTTTTGACTTGTAGAACACCGGATTTTTATAATCGAATGATCCATTGATTCTAGTTGATTTAGATATCGAACCTTCTTCAGTAAAATTTTTTGTTCGAAATGTATAATCAACTAAAACGATTGATGAAAGCGGAGAATCAATCACGCTTTGTACGCGCCGCAAATAGAGCCCAAGGTAAGGTGATCGACTTATGTTTCGACAGTTATTTAGGTTGAACAAAAACTTTACTCAACAAGCTTCGAAATCTAAATCAACTAGAATCAATACATCGTTCCATGAAAGTCGATACACCAGGGCCAAAAACATGGGATCATCGATTAGAAAAATCAGTAAAAACTGTTTAAATCCCGTGTTATACAAGTCGAAACACCACCCATTTATTGATTTCTTATTTATTCTAAAGTTGGAATCAAAAAATGAGAAAAAAATTATACGCCTGGTGACAAGATGTTTCCAAATTGAAACTGCTTCTACTTCTTAGTTTTGGAAAAATGTCCACACACACCCTAATACCCCCCAACAATTAACGTCTTTTCAGACCCCACACACTCTTTCACCATTGACCCCTCGGGGGATAATCTTGGGGGATTTATTTTTTGAGCGCAAACTGGGGAAAGAGGGGGTAGGGTGACTTAAAAAAGGGCTGAACATGGGATGGGGGACAAGGAGGGAATCAGAGACGTAATTTGGAAAGAAGTTAAGAAACAGTAGAAACTAGAAAAAATATAAGGTAAAAAACTGTGAAGGGAAAAAATCGAAAACAGAATAACCATTTTTCATAGCCACAGTAAGTCTCATTTTACAAATTTTTAACAAAACGTGCAGTAAATCAATATAAACTGCCAACTTGCTTTTGATTTACCGCAAAATGTTGAAAACACTGCAAAAATTTGAACATTTCAGATTAATTTTAGAGAAAAGTTCAAATAAATAATCTCTTATGATTGATAACAATCGATTATAAGTGATTAAAATAGATAATATTGATTTGTCTAGTACAAGACTATTCGTATCAGGGCAAAGCCCTGAATGTTCCGACTGCCTTTTAACGTTTATGAAGCCGTAATAACATTAAAAAATTAAATGTAATAAAACAAAATAGAAAATATTTTTTCTAAAATATGAAATGTTTTTATGCAAATCATCCCCCCACACGCCATATAAAGTAAAAAGTGATAAACTGATAAATTTTGCTCCTAGTAGCAAATCAATTGTACAAGTAGGCTTCCTTCGACCAATTTGGAACGATTTCTAAGACGGATTAAATCTCTGCTTACACGTTAACAGCGCGAAATATATCGCGCGTTAATTGTCCCAAACTGGCCAAAATGGTAACTTTACGAAAAATGATCACAGGTAAAATATCTTTTCAAATTTAAGCTCAAGACAACAATACCTTTCGAATGACATTTAAAAATCCCGTCAAAAATGGCTAGTTAAAAAGTCGAAATTTCTCTGAAGAAAAAAAACCCACCCCGAGCACAAATATTCCGTTACTTTCGCATCGAAAGTCGGAACAATAATCTAATATTTTAATTTGTGTGGAGACTGACAATAAAAACAATATGAACGATTATTATCTATGTAACTTCAGTGCGGGAACTTATTGCTTGCAAAAAACTTTAAATCAAACGCAAATCTAAAATTTTAAATGAGCGACTTCCGTGAATCGTGGACGCTAAATTTTGAATCGTGGACGCTATGGTAACAAAGAAACAACAAATGTTTCTGGGCAGTCACGTTTTACCTGTCGCACCCGATTTGTCTGGGTAAGTTTTGTAGCTCGACCGATTTAAAATGATAAGTTTCGTTGAATATTTAAAAATTTGTTGTTAAAATGGTTAAAAAATCATGCAATGATTGTGCAGAAAATGAATTCAATTAAATTCGGTGGTGTCAAAACCTTAAAACAAGATAAGTCATGCACAGGTGGCCGTCTTTATAAAATACCCTACCGGGTCCGAGGTACGAGTAAGCTGCAAATAAAACACACGAAACAAGTCAGAGGTCAGTCGGTTAGAAAGGTCAACAATTAAGCACCAGCAATATGCATATAGTAGAGTTAACAGTCCGAAAAGTTAGTTGATTAAAAAAATGCATTTTCCCGTCTCCAAACTTCAGGAATCACTTCGTAAGACAAGTTTTCAAAATCTCATCGCTTGCTTTATTGTTTGAAGCATGTTTAACAGGCAAAATAAATTCGATATTTCAAAACTGTAACTCAACCTGACTTCTGTAGAAAAAATTATTTGTTCATAAAAATAAAAATAGATAAACTCTTATTTGTTAGATTTAGAATCGATCAATTTATTGCAGGAAAGAGTAATGTTCAATTAATCTACTTGTAACTTGGCCTACCATTGGTGTAGATGACGTAATTGTCGTAGTCGGGGTAGAACTCGAGTGGAATGTCGTCTTTGAACCACCTGTACTCGGTGAGTGAGTCTCGTGGTGTGACGTCTGCTCTGATTGGCTGTCTCACTGTGTTCACCTGTAGTGTCTTCTGACTGGAGCCAATCATTTCCACTTCCGGAAAACCGACTTGAGAACCTGAATCGAGAACTGATTTAAAATAAATCATAATAATTATGACTTAAGCTTAGTCCGTTTCTATCAATTCGCCACATTCCAGACTGAGTTATTTAGTTCAGCGACCTTCCTTTTTTTCGACTCAAGGCCGCTTTTTTGCAGTTAGAACTTTCCATAATACCACCATTGCATCCGAAATTGGTCAGGCTGAGGTAGGCCTTAAGCTAGAGGTCAAGTGAGAGCTCATCCTCAAACACTATAATTGCCATGGCAGGGGTTCGAATACAAAATCTGATGATCTCCATGTGAACGCCTTACCAATTTGCGCCTCATAATTTGAAGGGTACACCTCTTCATCTGAATGGTTCATCTTAATTTTCATTTAATTCTTAACATTCTCTAATAATTACTTGTTTAAGGATTCAAATACGTCATGAAAATTGCATGGAACGTCTTCGACAAACAAATGTGTCGGAAAGTATTCTATAATTACTTGTTTAAGGATTCAAATACGTCAAGAAAATTGCATGGAACGTCTTCGACAAACAAATGTGTCGGAAAGTAGAAAAAAATTGGGTGGGCTATTTTCCGCGCTAAGTCAGGTAACGCAAACAACATCAAATGAGGTCGGTAGAAATTCAACTTTTCCAAGTCGCAAATCGAGCCCCGATGAAAAACTTTGGAAGCTTGACCAGTATCGAGAGAATCGCTAAAAAGATTTTTTCATTTCATGAGTACCTTTCTAAAACAACCGCTTGTTAACTTTCAAGATTTTTATGCTGTTCATTAGAAGCGTAAGAATTACATTATTGAAGTATACAAAACTCAAAGTTTGCATCTAACCATAACCAATTGTAGATAAACTGAGGTGAATTTATGGAACTTCAATTGTCTTTAAACTTTTCAATGGCAGCTTTAAAATTTTCATAATTCAATTAATTAAGCAAAATTAGTGTCCCGATGTCATACAAAAGTTTTCAAGGCTCAAACAAACAAAAATATTTATATTATGTTACTTGTTTGCTCACTTTCCTTGTTCGAGTAAAAGTTCTGATCCAATTTCTCAGGACACAGACATACTTTCAAATTTTGTTAAATTCGAATCACGCCCTAAAATTCTCTGTTGTGATATATCATTCGAGCCATTGTGATGATTGTTTGTGAAACCTACTTTTGCGTTCACTTTAAAGACAAGGCTCCTTCAGGGGTAGAAACACAAAATTAAAGCAGGCAAGAGTCCCATTTTTTAAATTTGGCAAATTGAGAGGGTTCTGGAAACGTTTCGAGCTGACAGCTTTAATTTTTATTTTTTCAGAAACAAAATAGAAATTGTCTATCGTAAAAATCTCATTGATGGCTTTTTGTTTTTACTGGTTTCGTTTCACAACAATTCATTATCATGAACCGGTCATCACCAACTTTCAAGCAACTAAAAGTATCTTTTATATCATAATGACTTTGTTTGAATCCCTCCTTTATTTCAAATATAGTCAAAAAAAGTTTCGAAAAAAAGAGAGCTCGTAAGAAGGAGGATGCATCAATATTCTGACTGTCCTTCAAATCTATACGGCGCCTTGACTGTATTTTATTAAAACAGTGTAGTGTTTTGGAGAGATATAAAAACCAATTTGGGCGATTTGAAAACAAACATTGAAGCACCACACCTGAACTGACAGCATTTTGAATAATAATGTTTGCCGAAACTAATTTTCAGTTTTAAAACAAAGGAAAACTGTGTTTTTCGCTTGTTTTTATATATATCTGACTTCAAATATGTTATTGAGTAGCATTTATCTATGTAGTTGGTTTGAAGTGAGCAATAAGTTTCGAAATTTTTTGTAGATTATAAAGAGCGCGCCCGCACTGGAGTTTCACGGAAAATAATTGATAATAGTGGATTATATCGGTAAGAAACTTAACCCATTTAATCAATTTTCAAGACCGATCCCACCATGAGAACGGGTTTTAGGGGATTATAATCAACTTTTTTTCAATAATTAAAAATCCATTATCATCCATTTTTTAGGTCACAAAAATCCAAGAAAATTGTTTGTTTTTCTGCAGAACATTGTTTACAGCTAAATAAACTCTTGAATCATGTGGATGAGAAATTTGCACAGTTACATCAAAATGACACCAAACTGTTAAAATACTTCACCCTTGAAACGCACTTTTGTGCATGTCCCATGTTGTCTCCAATATATTTCGAGAAAAAAAATCAAATTCTAAACTAATTGATTTTTTTCCTCAAAGTATGGTGGAGGAAGACGTGGGACATACATAAACGTGCGTTTCAGGGCCTGAAACGAACGTTTATGCATGTACTAGGTCTTTCCCTACCGTATCATGCCGTAGAACCATCCCCCGCGTAGAACCATCCCCCGTGGAACCATTCCCCCCGTAGCACCATACCCCGCCTTCAACCATTAAACACTCCCTCATTCAAGTGAGGTGACAGACAGTAGGCAGGGGAGGGGCAGTAGACGGGGCGGGCGGGGGGGGGGGGTAGTGGGCGATTGGTAAATTTTTACCAAGGCGATGTTAAGAAAAATAACAGTTAAACAAAATGTTAGACTGCCAAAATGAAAAAGTGGAGAAACTTGAACGAGTAAAACTTTATGTGAAAAATTTAAATTTGTGAATTGTAATTCGTAGCAACAGCACTCAACAGGAATGTAGATAATGTGCAAACTTCACAAGTAACGTCTCGAAAAATCCCTTATAATTGATTATAACCGAATATAATGGATTATATTGATATAAAAATATGAAGATTATAATCCCATTTTTAATGGATTATAATCGATTATAATTATTTATAAAGGATTTAATTGATATAAAAATATTAGGGTTATAATCCATTTTTAATTTTATGGATACTGACTATAAAATGACAGTATAATCGATTATTATCCATGAAACTCCAGTGGGGGTAGGCATCGCAATAATGATGGAACCCAAAGGTTGATGGCCGGAGTTAAATCATAACAAGACTGCTCGTATCAGGGCGAAGCCCTGAATATTCCGACTGCCTTTTAATATTCCGACTGCCTTATTGGAGCAGTAATAACATATAAAAAATAAATGTAAAAAAATAAAATGAAAACTTTTTTTTCTAAATTTGAAATTTTTCATGAAAATCATCCCCCCACACGCCATATAAAGTACAAAAAGATATATTTCGCTCCTTGTAACAAATCAATTATGGCAAATAAGCTTCTTTCAACCAATTTGGAACAATTTTTAAGACCGATTAACTCTCCGCTCACGCGTCAATAGCGCGAAATATATCGCGCGTTAATTGTCCCAAATTGGCCAGAATGGCAATCTTTAAACCCTCATAACTTTACGAAAAATAATCACAGGTGAAATATCTTTTCAAATTCAAGCTCAGGACAACAATAGCTTTCGATTGATATAAAAAAAATGCGTCAAAAACGGCTAGTTAAAAAGTCGAAATTTGTCGGAAGAAAAAAAACCCATACCCCGAGCACAAATATTCCGTTACTTTCGTATCGAAGGTCGGAACAATAAAACTACTATGCGAGGCATGATGTTTCTCGGTCCGATGGCCGGTTTCAAGGCCGGCAAAATGTTCTTGCTATAGTTATTAATGGTATTTAAATAATTCTCGGACGATAAGTGCTTACGGTAAAAACGTACAAAAAAATCAAATTCTCTCATGCGAGTCTGAAAGTTTTTCTGCAATTAAAAAAGGCTTTTTGCTTCAAAAATAATCAAAAGTACTCTAGGGGTTTATTATTCATCTTTGTAAAAATTTCCTAATTAATTGTGCCGCATTATACCGACAATCAATTTTTCTTGAAGCTAAGCATCAAAAGCGCTGAAGTTTTCCACGCTCATTTATCAATTTATCAATAATTAATGACACGATGCGCACAATAATGGGAAATAACAACATAGTTTGATAGAAACATGCTAACAAAAACGCATTACTGGGAAAAATGACTTTTTTACATTAAGAGGATGTTCATCTTAAAAATGTCATATACCAATTTCAGTTCTTATCTCAGTGATGAAACAATAGCATTGTTTAACTTTTTAATCTTCTATTTCTCTCATTTCTGAAATCAAAAAGAGTCTCTTGGGTCTTCAAAGAAAGTTTCCATGCATGGTATTTGTAGTGAAAATATTTCTTTTTTTTGTGTGTGTGTGCGCGGCTTTAAAAATGGAGCAAAAGCAGGCGGAAAAAGTCGAACTGTAATGTCCATTAGAACTACCCTTCAGGTAAGAACTGTCAAAAGTCTGCAAAGTGAATTTTCGCAAAAGGTCAACCTTACGCTTTTTTATTCAATTGCTCATTAGCGGCATAAAACTGAACTAAGTCATTGGCAAATGAAGTCCTGCTGACATTATTGACACAGAATTACATTGATTGGAAAACATCTCTAGAACCTTTCGCAATATATCCTCCCAGACCAGTGACCAAAAACATTGCCCCCATAGAGTGTGATTATACTATGATGGTGGGTGGCTATGGTTAAATTGCTGGGATGAAGGGATGAGGGCTATACTACAAAAGAACCAATTCCAAGAACTATAATTTATAAAATCAAGTTGTAATGTGGTACAAAATATTTGATGGATCTTGCTGCAACTTGTCCTTCCTATTACAAGGTTCAGTTTTCATGTAAGATTCATCATAGGATTAGTTTATGGTAGGGGTGGATATTCGTTTCTACGTAGCTTAGTGATTAACAAAATTTTAACAAGACTGCTCGTATCATGTGAATGTTTTAACGCGTTTTGAATTCTTTGGAGTATTTTAAAATAAATTAATTGGTAAAACTTTTGGAAAAACTAAAAAATTTTCAAAACGTTTGATGCGCTCCGATTTTGTGAACTAATCTTTTTTAAATTAGTTCTGGCCCCTTTGTTCAATGTATATAAATGCCTAGTGGTTTTTCGTTTCTTGAGGCATGAAAGTTAGAGCAGTTAAGCAACTGGAGATCGATTTTGATTTTTATTTGCCCGAGGACAACGGACAAAAAGATTGATTTTGGCTTTTATAAATCAATCTCAATTTTGACCGTAATTACATTTAAACGACAGGCGGAAACGCCCCCTAGTGATTACCTGCTGTTTTATTTGATGGGCGAAACCTTACCACAAAAGTATCATGCATGTAAGCCTCCCGGATGTACGCAAGCATGTGTCGCTTCCGTTCACATTCGTTTTTCTCTACAATGTGTCTCAAATGGCATCATTGCGGAATGATATAAAAATGATGCTACAACAGATGACTATACATTCAGGGAATGGAATTTTGAATAATATTTTTTAATAATGTTATTGTCTAGAGACATTTCGTCTCTGTCTCATCCCCTGTATACATTATCTACCGAATTTTCTGTTCCGGTGCTAGAAAGCATATTTTTTCTTTTCATTTTGTCTTCCGAATTAATTTTTAAATATTTGATTTTCTGGTATGTTGCTTCAGTTTTTATTCATGCGACTCGTGAAATATGCTCTTTTGTAAAAAAAAAAAACTGAGATATCTCATAATAAAGTAAGTTATAGCCAGATCATTTCTGAAAAGGCGAAAGTTCACCTAATCGGGCCAATTGAGATTTAAACTAGCTTGACATCCTAACACGGACAAAGACCGCCCGCAATTTGAAAGAGGGGTTGGTAATTAAATAATAGAACAGTACCATCTAAAATAATGCAAGATACTATTGTGAAAAACACGATAGCATATCACTTTTGAAAACATCACTAGTGTACAGTACAGTGAACCGTTTTTTTGTCACTGGGCGGGCAAAATGGAAAGTAGGGGATTGGGATAAACCTGTAATGGGATAAACCTTTTTCATCCAAAAAATAAAACAATAAAAAAATCGTAATATCAATACAAATTGCACAGAATTTTTTTTTCAAATTGATATCGTTTTTGTGGTGTGGTAAGTAAAGTATACGACTTCGTCGAACGCATTGTTCTGAAAAGATGATTATCAAACCAAATAAAATATTCCAAATTTCTTTTGCAGAATACTTTTTTTTCTAAAGATACTAATTCCAAAAAAGCGCTAAGTAAAGTTTCCAAATGAAGTTTTTCTGAAGTAAAAAATTCGCTTTGCTACTTAACTAAAAAAAAACTCAAAAATTTTACACATGTTTTCTCGACAGTAGGAAAAATTTTGAATTGTTTTAATAACATTCGAAATACGACTAAAAACTTTCTTGTGATAAATCACTCGACCCATTACAATGATTATTTGTGGTACCCAATTTAGTGTGGAAAACAGAAAACCTTAAAAAGCAATCGAAAAAACAATTCCTCCGCTTTTCAATGGTTCAAAATACGTGTGCTCCTAATAATTCATAGCCAATTCAAGGCTAAATCAATGCTAAAATGAAAGCTAGAATGCTTGTATGAAAGTAACTTTTTGTTTTCATATTTTCCTACAAATCTGTAGGGAATTGAAGTTATTGTTTTGTGAACCTATACAGTTTCTACTCTTTCCGACTTGGTCTTGAGGGAATTTAGTTGCGTTTGCATTCTAAGGACAAGTGTTCGAGCCCCGGCTGGACCTTGTTTTTTCCAGTATGTATGAAATTGAAAAAATTTTTTCGAAAAAAGGAATCGTTACACTTTCGTTTGTCAGATTATGTTTTATCGGATCAATTGATATTTTGCGTAAAATTTTGTGCTGTCGGCAATGTTCCTTGCAGATGCAATTATTTTTTTTACTCCTGTTCTTTGTAATTTCACTTTTATTTTGTATACTTTCCCTTTTCTTCGCTTGAAAGTTTCGGCTTAGATAGCTTACTTTGGTCAACTGATGGGCCAAAACTGAGAGTTGTTTTCTCTTTTTTTGTATGTTCTGAAAGTGCAAAATTTTTCAGCTTTACTGCTCAAAATTTTGAGACATCACTATGGCGTTTTTGTTTTCGGCTCAATGGGTGTCCATCAACAAACTGTTGACCTAATGGCCGCTCGGTAAAAACTAAAACTTAATTCAAGGAGTTTACTTGTGTTTCTTGGCAATTTTTCTTGTCGTTTTTAATTTAAAATTTTATTATCCGTCGTTTTTTCCCAACTTGCAACGCTGTGCTTTGGTTATATCTGTGTTTAAATTGCGAATTTATCCATAGACGTTAGGGGCGGTCAAAACATTCAGGCAGTCGCCCTGATACGAGCAATCTTGTTCTTATTATACATCTAACGTTCGCAGTTTTTTAACCTAATTTCAACGCTGTTATGAAGAAAATGCATGAAAATTTAAAAAAAAAAGAAAAACATTTAGAAAAAATTAAACTGTTTTTTTCTACCTATGATTTTTTTTGAATTTTTTAAATTTTGTTTTTAATCATAATTTTGAAAAATTTCAGCTGCAGGCTCAACAACTGGCTTTTCTTGCTTCAGCATGCGTATTCCGAGCATGCGTTTTTCATTACTTTCTCAAACTGCATATATTCAGTGGAAACCCATTAAAATTTTAACCAGGTACTGAAATTTGAATTAACCAGGTACTGAAATTTTCCGAGCATGCGCGTTTCATTACTTTCTCAAACTGCATATATCAGTGGAAACCCATTAAAATTTTAACCAGGATCTGAAATTTGAATTATTTTCACAAATTTGAAAAAACAAAATTGTACTTTGAATGCAAATTCTTCAAATGGGGAAAATGGGTTGCTAAAAAAACAAGCAAATGCAAATTTATTCACGCTTGAGGGACCATTGAAATTGAAAATGTCTTCACAGATTTAAAAGATATCTCTGAAGTTGTTCACAAAAGTCAGAAGAAAAATTGAAACTGGTGGAGTAGACTTAGCTGAAGTTGAATACTTTTAATGACCTTTTTTTCCACTCATTCGATTCTACGATGAAAAAAGATTTTTTTGTTGCAATTATACCAGAAAATGACTCGAGTTTGGCCAAATTCCATCTGAATCAAGCATATAAAAAATTGATGACGCATTTCATTGTTGAGAACAAACTGACTGGAAATAATGAACTCTTAAGTCCTAATTTACTTCATCACAGACGTTTGGTTTTAAGATTCAAATTTGATCAAACACTCTTCAATTTAATAATTAAATTATGCAACTTGAATTAAAGCTTGGCGCCTTAATATTTCGTTATTATATGGATTACATAAGCGGAACCGGTAAATCAATGTAAGATTGTTAGGCTTTCGGCAAACTTTTCTGCATATATTCTACTGAGTTCACTTCTGCAAATGAAAAAGAGGTATAACTTTTGGTAGAATTGAGTTTCATAAATATTTCATTTACACTCAACGATGGATTTTAGTCGATAGAATTTTGAGAGATTTCAATCATTTGAAACTTGAAGCAAACCAGCTGCCAAGTCTATTCATTCTAGAGAATGGAGAATAAATTGAAGACTTGAGATGGCGGATTGAGAATACTACACTTTGGAAGCATTTATGGGAACCCTTTTAATTATGGATATAATTGCTGGTAACTGCAGTTGAATGTTGGAGTATGGAAAACCAAGTGCGGAGAAACTGATGCATATTCAAAGCCTGATTGTTAAATATAAAAAACTTGGAACCTCAAAAAATAGTTCTACACGGCTTTGTTAAAAGTTGATTTTTACAAACTATTGCGATTCGAATGGTTTGTAAAAAACCAGATGCTTACAACTTTCAGATACTTGATTTTAAAAATTTTTTTTTTGTTAAACATTGAAAATAACTGTTCGTTGATTTTCACTTTTTTTGCTGAATGGAACATATATTATTCATTCATTTCGTTAAAAAACTGTATAACAAGAGTAAAGTAATTCTAACAAACAAACAAGTTCTTTCCGATTTTGATTAATTTTACGTGAAGCATTTTAGCTTAAATACGTAAGCTTAGAAAAAATTCTCTCAGAGAGCCTAAGGCGTCGTCTTTTTGTAGAAAAAAAAGACGTTTTCATGTCGCTAGTTGTGAGCTGTGTTAAATTCAGAGACCATTTTGCTGCTGCTTGAAAATGATTAATTAAAAAAAGAACGTTTTCATGCATGAAGTTATAGTTTCAAATCAGATAAAGCTATGCTTTCATAGATCTGTATCCGCGGGCGTTAACTTATGAGCGCACACAGAAGGCAGACTTGGCAATCAGTTGAAGAGCTCTTGATGAATCGTTGATAATTTCTCTTACTTTCATCATTTGATACCATGATACGCATTGATGGTTAATTTTAAACTATTATCAGTTTGGTTAGTTAAGTCACGGCACAAATATTTTTTGCACTGAGACGGTGTGCTAATAAACATGAGATTTTCTGACGAAAATTAAGTAGTGTTCGGCGTACCTAGACAAGCTTTTAATGAATTGCTCAAGGGTTATTCAATAAGATGGTTTATTTTTCTTAAAAAGCTGCAACCATGTTCTTCTGACTAAAATTTATTACTTCATAATGATTTTAAAAAAGTTGACTTCAGCTCAAGGATGCGCTACTTGCTAAGGTAGTAGAATTAAACAATAAGAGTAGACATCTATCAAACCTTACCTGCTTTGTAGCTTACAATTTTGTGACCAATGAAACATAACTTTTTAAGTGAGAGGTTTTATAAATGAGATTGAAGTTGGGGTAAAACTCACTTGATTCGGATAAAACTCGTAGTTGGCAAGTATGATGATCGTTCTCATTGTTCGGACCCTCCACTGAACACGTGATCGAACTGCTGCTTTTCGTGTCGTACTTGAGCAGTTTCACAGTCGACACAGTCGGCTCATCTTCGTTTCTGTGGACGTCGTAGATGGTCTCGTTACCCTTTGTCCACCTGAACGAGTAGTCGGAGAAGGCCTTGCTCGGGTCGACGCCGCCGAATCTGCACACGAGGTACACTTTACTAGACGCTGTCACCGTCGTGTCTTTCGGACGTTCAAGAAGAACCAGCTTACATTCTAAAACTTAAAACGTATTAACTGTTCTTATAGGAATACAGGTAATAAAAGAAGTGCGAATCAAAAGAAGTTTAGTAGAGCTCTATAAACCTAAAAAAGCTTTATTTATACTAACTGCGGGTAGTTAACTTCAGGTATTATATGATAAATTATAATAAATTTTTTTGAAAAAAAATTAAAATTTTGGCTAAATCAGATTTGGTGATCAGTACGCTTCCCGTCACATTTTCCGTTGGAGTTTAGTAACTATGAAAAACGGAAATGATTAAATCAGCTTTGTCTCGACACTATTTCCTGAAATAATTTTCGACAATCCGATTGTTACCACACTGATGCCATGTAATGCCAGGAGTGAAAGGCTTTGTTAATTTGATAAAACTCCCAAATCTCTGAGAACGAACAACGACAAACCTGAAAACGCGTGAAAAAATACCCTTGGCCTCTGTTCTCTCCTACTACGCTTTTTTCCAACAGACTTGCTTTGATATAATTAGGTTTTTAGCAATTTTGTGAAAGTATTTGGAATTCAAAAAATGAAGTATATCTTTAAAAACAATAATTCTGATATTTCAAGTTTTCAGAAAAAAATTTCACGACTCACATGGCCGCTTCTTTGATGAAAACTTAGCATTTTACATCTAATGTTAAAAACGTTATATTTTGTGTATCTTTCCTTCTTTTCTTGTATTCTCACTCAACAAACTTGAGTTTCTAATTGTAAAAAAATGCTAATGGATTTAGCACGGCGTAACTATTTATTGGGACAAAATTCGATTGTTCTTACTCGATATTCCTCTTAAAAAATTTTTCCTGCAGATCCTGATGCGAATATTCAATAATAAGCGGAATCAACCTTAAAAAAAGCAAATTAAACTTGGAATTTAAAAGGTCACAGACTTTTACTATTGACTTATTGGAGGAATTTTAGTTTTGCTAAAATTGTTGATTTATAGAAAATTTCATGGGGCTCATTGAGTAAATGAGCACAGGGCAAAATTTTATAGCAGAAGCAGAATGACCGCATTCAAATATTTTGTTGTTTCTATTGGTGCCAATTTGACGTCAACACTTTTTTGTAGGCTATAATAGGTTTATAGGACACATGAGGTGAAGATAATTTTTAGAGCAAAAAAAATTCGGCAGAAAAAAATTGCCTTATTGAAAGTCAATTTGAATTTTTTTAGAGCACAAGTTCCTCCATAGAAAAAAATATTATTTGTTAGTGAGCCAAAACAGTTGTGCTTAGGATTTTTGAAGCTGACAAGAATCTTTCGAATCGATTGTTTTTGTTTGCATGCATAACTAGGCAAAAAAAATCCTAGATTTCTTCTTGTTTTGACATTTGAATTTGAATTGTAATTTCAATTTAGCTTGAAAACCTAAAATTTTTATTGCCTATTTTATTTGTTACAGGGAAGCTTTAAAAAAAACAATTTATGAATTTTTTTCAATTCTTGAGTTTTCGAAACTTTTCCTGTGATTAAAAAACACGCGTTCAAAATAGAAAAAACTTTGTCCCCCTGACTTTTTTAGACAGTTATTAATTGCAATATGAATTCTTCAAAATCTAAACTTTGAGGTGTTTAGCTGTTTTTTTCTCAAGAATTGTCATTTGCATGGTATGTTTCAAGGGTTTAAAAGTTTTTTAATGGCTTCAAAATTTTAAAAAAGACCAGCACAATCAGAAAAGTAAAAATAATATGCCCTTGAAAAAGATAATTCATTACTTTAATATTACTTTTGTTTTGCCTACTGCAATCAATTTAAGAACAATTTTCAGTAGCTTTAAAAAACTAAGGTGAAAGAATAGACGGTTTTATTTCAAAAAACAACAAGCAGTCCTTCATATTTGTTTTAAAAAAACTCAGAAGTCTTTAAAGGATTTCTTAGTGTTATTGGAGCGGTAAACATTTTACTCTAAGGTAATGTCACAAGCTATTATGAATTTTTGAGATTAATTTTACAATGTTATTTTCTACATAAGGTAAAATTATTTAAGTATGCTGGTTACCTTTTACAATTGCTATGAAAATTGGTTTCTAAAAATTTAAAATTCTTGCTCAAGTTAACTTTGAGTATGCATTTTTGTTCAAAAATTTTTTCTACAGTTATACCCCCGGCTTTCCTCAATTTAAGAATGATTCCTATCACACAACCACAAACAGGAAAGAAGAACTCATTTTAGAGTTCCATACTTGGAATGTATAGAGAAATAAATTGTCAGACTATTTTAGGAAATGAAATTGGGATCAAAATAATTTGCAAAAAATTCAGAATTGAGGAAACAAACATTTTTTCCCGTATTATATAGGTTGTCTCACATGAGAAAATTAGCTTTACTTAGCTTAGAGAGTTTTCGGACAAAACACTAAAACTTAAATCGAAATGTTTAACAATGAGCTTTTTTACACAATTATCTGTACTTGTCTGTACCAATGAAAACGTATGACTAGCTTTTTCCATTTTTGAAGTATGTATGGCAAGCGTTTTCTGTTCACCCGCGAATTTGTTGTAGAATTTTTCGAACCAATTTCTAGTTTTGAAAAAAAAATTATTTCTTTGAAAATCCTCAAATTGCTGAAATTAACTTTTTGAAACTTAAAAACTTTGAAAACTTTGAGCTCTGCATATTTTTCCGACTTTTGAAAAAAAGATGGAATAGTTGTGTTATGGTTGTTTTTTTTTCTCCAGACCTTTTCGTCCTTTTTAATCGTTTTTTTTTTCAATAACATCCAAATGGTATTGTTGTATTGAGCTGAAAACCTATAACTTTTCAGCCTGTGATAATTTTTTTTAAAGTGTGGCTTAACTGTGACTTTTTTTAAGTTATGGGGTTGTAAAGATTGCGAAATTGACCAGTTCGGGACAATTAACGCGTGACACTTTTCGCGCTATAAACGCTTAAGCGAACGTTCAATCTGTCCAAGATCTCGTTCCAGACTAGCTGAAGCAGGCTATTTGTCAGAACTGCTACGTTACTTGGAGCAAAACACATTATGTTCTTTATATGGCGTGTCGGAGAGATGACTTTTCAAAAATCTCAAGAAAGTGTTTTTTCCATTTTTTTTGAAAAATTAATGATTTTTTTTAAAAAGCAAATACTGCTCCATAGACATTAAAAGAAGGCAGTCGGAACATTCAGAGTCCGCCTTGATACGAAAAGACTTGTTGCAGTTCTGTCTCAAAACATGAAAATAATATGTTTGGGCTCTTTCGTTAGCATTTCAAAAAATTTTATTACGCTGTTCATGATTTCGCAGATGTTAATTCTTTGATGATTAGAGTTGTTTTTTTTTTGTGAGAACTTTTTTATTAAATTTTTTCTGCTTCCGATTTAGGTTTAATTTTGGTGCTAGTCCGCTTCTTTAAAAACCTATCGCGGAAGCTCAATTTTGTTGCGGATTATCGAGGTGCGCGATTGTCGTCGTGCGATTAAAATTTTTGGCCTATAAGTGAAGGATGTTATTATGATCGTCTAGATGCTTTGAGCGACATATGGCATGGAGTCGAGTTCAGATATATCTTTATTTCTGTTCATCACGTGAACTGGTTGCAAAGACATGAACAAAAGCAGCATTCACTTCCAAATGATATTAACCAGTGAAGCAGTCATCCGATCAATAAATCTCAAAAGGCTACTCATTTCCCCAATCATTCAATCCATTGTTCCGTCTACTGTACAAATTACAATTACACTAAACTAAGCCCCCACCCTGACTGAAAAGGCCGGACGAGAAGGCTTAGACAATCAGCAGCAAACACTGCTGTCTATGACTGCAAGCGGCACGTCAATCTTGTTGGCATTTTGAAGAGCTCCCACAATGATTACGAGTGTTAAAAGCACGTATCAAGTCTAATCAGTGAAGATGGAAATATAACAAACACTACTTTGTAAAACAACAGGTAGTATCATAAAGTTGATTTTCCCAAAAATTGCGAGCAGGGAGGGGAGGGGGAGGGTAGAATTGGAAAAAAAAACTTTTTACTCTTGATTAATTACAAATGCCATACTAAGCTAAGCGAGATATCCATTCGTCATCAGTTTCAATTTTCACTTGTTTTGTAAAAAAAAACAGTTAATGTCGCTGACAAGCTGCTGGATTTCAAATGATAGAACAGGCAAAATATCCCAGCAAGACAGCTTTATTGAGGGCGTCAAAGTGGAACAAGCAAAAAAACACTGTCAACGAAAAAATTTGTGAGCAGTTAAAAGTAATTTCAAAAGCTGAAAACCAGATTTAAGACAAAACACAGGAACAAGATACAAGAAAATAATACACAGCATTGGAACAATGGAAAAAATTACGCAAAAAAACCAAACCTTTTTTCTTGTGTTTTTTTTTCTTCTGATAGCTATTTTGCTCTGGTCAGTAGTCGATGCTTTTATGATGTGCTCTTTCAGAACTTTATGAAGCTGAATTATTCGTCAGTGTGTCACATCAAATGACTTTCTTTTCGGCTTTCCGACGAAAAAATATTTTTTAAATAGAGTTGATCACCCAATTAAATAACACATTTAGAACACGTTGATATCAGGTTTGATTGCCAATCTAAAAACTTTTTTTAAAAAGGCGTAAATAATAACAAAACACTCTAAGCATAGATAAAAACCGGCTTTCTTCGAAAGTCAGAACCACAAGATCATCGCATAAAAAGCACTAACGCAAAAAACATGTAACTTTTTCTTGTATCGAAGATGATTTTCTTTACTAAAGACTTTTCCCTGTCGTTTTTTTGTTGGATTACTACTGCGTCCAACATTTATCGCCAGAATTTCATTCTTTTCTACAAATTTTAACGAGGTTACTTCCTACTAAATGGTCTAAATGCAAAATTTTCCAGTTTCTGACGCAAACTTAGCGACATTTTTAAGTCCGAGAAAATTTTTTCCCCAAAACAATTTTGGAATTTGAAATAATGATTTTTCACCAATTTTTCAGACGCAAACAAAAATTCAGCGTTTTAATTTTGTGTGAGGTAGAAAATTGCCCATAAGGTCA